AAGTTGAGTGGAAGGATGAAGTGTGGTAGAGAATGATTCTTTTTTTTTTTTTTTACACACTAGTCTTAGTCTTTTGTAAGGTGTGTACACTTAGGCAGGGTTCGAGCTAACCCTCTCTGTGGGGTCAGGGCAGCTCGCTAGCCAGAGTAGCACAGCCGTTGAATCAGCTTTTGATACCTTTGTCATTGTGGTGAGATGTTTAGTCTTACTGGAAAATAAACTCAGGATCTCCAGAAAGAAAAACATAAAACATTAGTGCATGAAGCAATCTAAAATTTCCTGGAATGGCTTAGCTGACGTTAGGCCTGAGAAAATACAGTGGACCTACAGCAGTCGATGTCAAGGTTTCCCAAATCGTCCCTGACCTTTGAAACTTCACACTGGACCTCGAACAACATGGATTCAGTGGCTCTCTATAAAATAATTTCAACCTCTGTGCCCGTGATTTCCAAATGCAAAATCGACTTTTAGCCAAAAATAGTTGTATTTTTAAGTCACTCTGCTAATGTCCGACCTTTGTTCTTATTAGTTCAGGTCAGAAACTTCTCCCCTGCTTTAGGACAGATGTAACATAAGAAATGAGACATTAATGTGGTGTGTCCTCAATATATCTGTGTAGAAGTTCTACCTCCTTGTTGCAAGTTTTTTCTTCCACTCAACTTTTTATCAATATTTTTTGTCATTTAAATCCCTTGTGGAGGATCTCTGTTGAGTCCTCTCCATGATTGTGTCACCCATGTGTTTTAGAAATCCTTTGTTAATCTATTTATTTTGAAGAGACTGAATTTTGAGTTAAGCCACGATCATCAAAATGACCAGAAGAAGATCTGTCCGATATGAGTTTAACTTTACAGTTGAGTCTCTGAAATAAATGAACTTTTTGATGGTATTCTGACTTGTTGAGATACAGCTGTAGTTGATGCACAGCCATTTTCTACTCAGGCTTTTTGACCAGCTGCAGTGCCAGCGTCCTACCAGCAGGGAGAGCTGTCAGCATTCACTTGTAATTCCTCTTTCAGCCATAGCCACACCTGCTGCACCTGCAGTGAATATGCACAGCATCTCCCACTCACCTGGGGAAGGGGATGGGGACCGCAGGGCTACGCAACACACCGGACCTGTTTGTGTTAACCGTCTGTGAGCCGCAGTGCATGCTGGGACGGTGCTGGATGCTCCGAGGAGCTTTGGTTTTGTTCGTCCAGCTTCCATCCAGCATCAGTTCCCAAAGAGCATGAGTTGCATCAGTGTGTACAGTTTCTAAAGCGAATGATTTAGTATTCAGGCCTCAGCGCTGCACAGCGTTAATGCGTCAGTCACGTTTCTGTTGCAGTGTGCGGCTTTTTCCTCATCTGTAATCTTTCAGCAACAATTCAAACATTTCCAAGTTTTGCTTTGGAGGTTTTATATCTTCTTTGTCTTGAGTGGCATAAAATGAGCTCTTTTGTTTTGGAGCTGATTGTCAGAAAAGACTAACGGACTGTTTGTGATGGCTGTTTTTCTCGTACTGCCTGGTGTTCTGTGAACCTGAAAGGTGAGGAAATGTTTGTAGAAAAGGTTCGTAAATAATGACCACACGGCTACACGTCATGTATCTCATTTCAGCAGCTCACTCTGATAGTTTGAAAAGGGTTTTTTGGCATCTTGTTGCAAAAACAATCATCCAGATTATAAACTCTGCAATTAAACTGTTAAAAACATGAAAAAATACCAATTTACAATAGAATTATACTCCAGTAATGCAGCTGCAGCTCATTTCTGCTCTTTAAATTATTTTATTAAGATTTTATGAACTGCTAATGATCATCAGAGGACTTTCATCTAAAATCTTCCAAACAGCTGCAGAAAGAGATAAAGTTTAAATATGTTGCTAAAAAATCAAAATAAATCAACCTTTATATGTGTTTTCATTCTGTTTTATACTTAATAAGCTAATAATCCTATTGTTACACATTTAACTGGTTTCTGGAGATTAACTCAACATGAGAACTGCTGCATTTTTCTGCTTTTCATTTTTATGTTTGACGTAAATGAATGCGTTTGGTGGTTTAAAGCTTGACTTACATTTTTGTGCTGCATCTGCTTAATGTCCAAAAAGTTTTCATTTATGGTTTAAATCATCTTTAATTACTAAAAACACTATGATCTACAGTGCCTTGCAAAAACTATTCATGCCCCTTGAACTTTTTCCTATTTTGTCACATTGCTGCCACAAACTTAAATGTATTTTATTGGGATTTTGTGTGACAGAGCAACACAAAGTAGTGCATAGTTTGAAGGAAATTGAAGGAAAGCAGTAAATTTTTTACCAATAAAAATCCAAAAGGTGTGGTTTATGCTTTTATTTGGCCATATTGTGTTTAATCTGATTATCCAAAGTAAACCAGTATAACCAGTTGCTTTCAGAAACACTGACTGGCTCCATTTGGTGTGATATAACCTGATATAAATTTACCGGCTCTTGCTGGAGAACATTAGAGAGAGAAACACAGCAGACAGTTGAGAGAGTTATGGAAATGTGCAAAGCTGGTTCAGAAAATAAAATGTCAGATCGCTGACAAAAATTCATGTTTTGGCTTTGAAGCGAAGTCAAATTTATTTGTATAACTAGACAGTTCAAAGTGCTTTTACACAATAAAACTGTAACAACCGTTTATGAAACAATCACCAAACATTACATTTTGTCCAATGCCATCATAAAATATATTGATCAATATGAATTTCCCAGTGGTTTTTAATCAAAGGCTCCTGTAAACAAGTGGATTTTTAGCCTTAATCTAAAGTAGCTCAGTGTTTCGGCTGTTTTGCGGGTTTACAGAAATTTGTTCCAGGCTGCTGCTTCTTCGTGTTTGGTTCTGACAGAAAATGTCAGTAAAATACACAATGTTTTTGTGGTTGCAACATGCTGAAATGTGAAAAGTTTTGCAGCAAGGGACTGTACTTGTAATGAGTAAATATTTTTTCCTCAAGGATCAAATCCTTGTTAGACGTAACGAGTGGAGCATTACGTTTGGCATATCTGAGCTTGTCCTGCGTTTGCATTTGATCAGAATTAATCAGAACCATTTTAGGTGTCCGTTTTTGCTCCACATGTGTGGCTAAACTCTCAAACAACCCAAATGTCAACCATCTTCATATTATCTGATCCCTGAAAAGAGGCAATGTTTTATTTACTCTGCATAAATCTGTTTGAATACACAGAGCAATCTATAAAAAACAATAATGCGAGTTTTTTTCTGATGCATTGAATTAAAAAAAAAAACAGCAATGAATGAAACAGAGAGCAGCTGCTGGAAACAGTTTGTGAAGTTAAAGTTGCAGGATCTGTCTCTGTTAACGCAGCAATGCACACCTGAGTGAACCGTCCAATAAATGTTTCCATCACTCATCATCATTTCTGAATGTAAATAAAGCATGAGATCTTATGGCCTGCTTTCGTTTATCTTAGAACATTAAATGAAAGGTTCATATATTAAGTAGATCACCATAATCTACAGTTTTCAAGCGACACCTTTATTTATTTTTTTCTATCGACAAAGGAAATGGCTATATTTATTGCTGTTCTTCGCTGTCGTGTTTTAGAGGCTCAGAAAAATCTTTTTACATGTAAAGTTCTGATCCGTCTCAGTGTGTTTTTAGACTGGTGCAGGTAGGACGATGTTCTTTTGATGCTAAAACAGTGAGCTACACGTGTCACTGCCTTGTTCAGTCTCACCAAGGAAATGTTGTTTGTGAGCTTCTCAGTTTTGGGAATTCTAGAGGATAAAAATAAAAGTGTTTGTAAAGGGTGGCCGTGTCTTGATCTTATTGTGTGGAAGTTTAAAGTACATTTTGTGAGAGTTTAGCCCTGGAAAAAGAATCTGAAACACTCAGACAAAAAAGTCCTGGACACAATATAGCCTTATATAAAGAGTGAAGACTGTTTAAATCTAAAAATAGTGACCTAATTCATTATAACTTTTGTTATGCCAACAGTTTTGTCTAAAAATATCCTTTTCAATCTGGAAAAATATATTCCTCTTAATAATTTTGCAAATGTTGATAGTTTGTGGTAGTTTTTGTTTTCTTTTGCTAATTAAACAGCATAAAATGTTTGTATTGATAATAACACAATAGCATACCAGCAAGAAAAATTACGCATATTATGACAGCAAGCCATTAAGGTAACAATACAGAAGTATGACATTTTGATAGAACAATTTCAAAGGTCTCTCATTTATCAGAGTTTAGTTTTTACAATTTAGTAAATATAAATTTGATGTTTGGGTGGTAATCTCCATCACGGAAGTCCTGAGGGTTTTGTTTCAAACTTTCACACATTTTGAAATGTAATAATTTAGCTTAATCTAATAATTTTTTTATTTAAAAAAAAAAGTATGTAGAAAGCACTCTTCCAGCTGGCCATGAAGAGGATGGATGAGAACTAGGAAGTGATGAAAATGAAAATTTACAAGAATATTTAGCAGCAGACAAGTGAAAGTGAAACTACATAAATGACTATAGGAGATAGCCAATATGATTTCCATATTCTTTAGAAATGTGTAGCATGTATTTGAATTTATTTTGTAAATGAACTGTGCAGAAATTGTAAAAAAACAAAAAATAAAAACAGTTTGGTCAAACTATATCCTATTTGATGCAGTACATTTAATGATAGTTGGAACTTAAAATTAACTTTAAATTCATCAAGATGTAAGGTTTAAGAATTGTTCAGCCTCCAATCTGTATTCAGATAAGAACATACATCAACAATTTATCTTATGACGCTTTAAACATCTAAACTGGAATATGTTAAATCTTTTGAATATTTTACATGCTTATGAAATACATTATGCTCAAGTTGAGTCATAATGTAGACAAAGAATAACATGTTTCATAAAACTGCTGATTTTTGTCGATCCACCGCGAGCTCAGGTGTCACTGAACGCAACACTGCTTGGTATTCTAGCAGCGGAGCCGAGCTCGTGTGACGCTGACCGAAGTGTCTTTGAACGCAGCGCGGTTTGGTTTTCTCGTAGCGCAGCCGGAGCCTGTGCTGGGAAAGTCCACAGAGCGTTGATGCGCTGCTGCGATCTGAACGCAGGGACACACCGAAATATTTCTTCCCCCAGCGGGCTCATGACTCTGCCGTAGGAACAAGAGGTGAGCCTCAAAGCGATGTTTGGCAGCTATCCAACTATGTAACATTTAGTAAAGCGGTTTTTACGGGCCTCTGAGCTTTCGGTTCTAATGTCGGAGAGAGCTAGTTCGGGGCTCCGACTATTTCCTGGTGCTCACTGGGATTCTGTTGCTCCGCTAGCTAGCTGGTTAGCTAATGTCGCCTGTCAAGGAGCATTTATATGTCTGCTGTCCTACATTTCTGTCTTTTTTTGTCTAAAATAGAAATATCATTGTTGCTATATCGACACACATGTCCTATTTGATTTTATTGTTGCTATGACAATAAATAAGCGCAGCGCTGTCCTTGTGTTTGGTAGCTTTGTTTAGCTAGGTGTAAATTGCGAAGGCTGTTGTAATCCTCATAACCTCAAAGTTTGGGGCTGTCATTGCTCCATTGTTTATGCTCGTTGCAGCTCTCCCCACAACGATGGAGAAAGCTCCCTTCAAGCAGTCGCAGTCCTTCGGGGACTGGGAGCTGAAAGAGAGGCTGGGGATCGGAGGCTTTGCCCATGTTTACCTCTTCCAGCAATCCGTGAGTGTCAGCATCACCTTGACTGACTCCTTACACACTGTCGATATTTAATTTCCTTTTGATGTAGCGCCTCAGAAACATGTAAGTGACACTGTTAAAATGCCAAGTGGTCGTGAAGTAAAGAATTAAAACGTTTTCCTCCTTTTAATGTGAATTATATATGGTTCAAAGTGAAACTACTTCATGAACGGGATTTTTGAGATGAGGTATAGAGAAATTAACCAATAAAACCTGCTTTCCCTCATGTTTGGTAGGAGACTGTCTATTCCTAACATACATCACATCTATACTTGGATTCACTGTGATTCTGGAAAATAAATCCTGCTTCATTGTTTATCTTATTGTCATATATCGTGATAAATATCATGATAAGAATTTTGATTTATCTTTACAATACATTCCAATAATGACATTTAAAAATAAATGCATCCCAAAACTGTTATGCTCGATCTGAAATATAATGCAGACAAAGAATATAGAAAGGAGTTCAGAGATACAAATCACACTTTTCTATATGACAGTGTATTCTAAGCCTGGTGGGCCACCAGGCTTTAGTTGGGCCCCCACCAGGCTGAGGATTGTTTATTTATTTTATTTTATTTATTTATTTATTTATTGGTATTTTTTAAGACTATAGCTGATATTCAAACATTCTTAAAATAACATAATTATCAAGTGAATATTTTCAAATTTAAAACATTTTTAACTCAAAAGCATGGCGGGCCACTTAATGGATGACTGCCCTAACACCCAACCACTGGACTAAGCAAGTTTTCTGGAGGAAAACTCTGCTGTCCTGAAGAAGCATATTCCAATTTGGTATGTTTCTCAAGAGTACTGTTTGCGTTTGTGGGGCTATAATTGCTACATCATGCAGTCACAACCCTACAGTTACAGAGAAACGAAGTGATTAATGTCACTTTTATCATTATCACAATAGTACCCCAAACTATTGTTATAAAACTTTCAGTCTCTGTTGCCTTCCCCTCGTTCTTTAGGTTGGTTTAAAAAAGTGAAAGCACTTCCATCTGAAGAAAAGCAACCCCAAATAATTCACTGTGGGTGTGGTCGTCTTGGTGTTGGTTTTTGGGAAGATTATACTTTTAGGAATGGTGGGAAAGAAATTCAAGTTTGGTTTCATCCGATCAACACATTACACCACAAGATTTTAGATTATTTTAGCCTGGTCTGGATATTTCCAAATGAGTAAAATGATTCTGTCTTCAATTCTATTCCTAAAGCCAGAAATATGGAAAATATAGGGTATTACCATCACTTGTAGGATAAAACCAGTTCCAGTTTCATCTTGTAGTTTCTATTTACTTTGGAGAAATGTCTAATGTTCATAATGATGCTGTTCCATATTTTCAGTTTGATTTTACCTGCCAGCTGATTTTTCTGCATCTCTAGACTGAAACTAAAACCTAAAATATAATTTAAATGATTTTGGAAAAAAGGTCTAATACATTATTACTTATATGAGAACACAAAGTGGAAAGAACTACATCCCAACAACAACAAAGTTAGATTGTTGTCTTTGATATTCCTAAATAAAAACAATCATCCAGTTTCCCACTGAACGAATTCATAGCAAATGTTGATGTTTCAGTGAATTTGGGTACAAGATCAGCAGCTGAAAGCATCGTAACACCGGTATTTACAAAATTCAGTTAGTGACATTTTGCCTGGGTGTTCTTACCAAATTTGCTGCCGTCACCTCAGCGAATGACAGGCCCTGGGGACTGATGAAAACATGGTCCTGCTCTTTGCTGACACACAGAGAGATTTCTAAGCTCACTCCTTGGGCCAACAATAACCAGCTTCAAAGCTGCATATCAACACTTCCAACCATGTGAAAGATTATTTACTCTGACTAACACATTAAAGCCGATCTGCAATGATGACAGTGAAGTATAACCGCCATTTCTACTTCAAGATCTTAATGGCTGCTTTCACTGTACCATAATACTGTCATCCTTTGTATCTTCTCTACAAACATCTGGCTACAGTTAAATGTTGCAAATGTGTGAACATCAGAAAATCCTACTTGGATTGCTGAACCTTATTTCTTGTTAATCAGATCCTCTGTAATGTTGTGTTTCCCAAAAGATCGAATGCTGAAATTGAAACAATCTCCACGATTGTTGTTTTGGTTTCTGTTGCAGAAAGTAATGCTAACTTCATCATGAGCTGGAAAATGTTTCCTTTCCCAAGGCAATGAATCCCCTCCCAGATTCATCTGCTGATAAAGTTTAAGACACCAAGTGACGCAGTTTTTCTCTATAATCTTTTTTTTGTTTTTCGTTTTCTTAGGAAACGCATGAAAAAATAGCAGTGAAAATGTGCCGTCTGGACCTCACACCAAGGAACAGGGACAGATGGTGCAGAGAAATACAGATTATGAAAAAGTAAGTCACTTTTTAATGTTCCGTCTTCGTTATCTGAAGCTGCCTGGTACTCAGAGTGATTATTTAAAGTAATCTGATGACATTTAGATGAAAATGAAGTTACAGATGGTCTAAGCGTCGTCTCTCTCACTCAGGCTGCATCATAATAATGTTGTGACTGCAAAGGAAGTCCCCGAGGACATTAACGTCATTGCCTTAAATGAGCTTCCCCTCCTGGCCATGGAGTACTGCTCCAAAGGAGACCTGAGAAACGTGAGCTATATTTACCTTTACTTACCTTTTTTGTGACTTTAACCACACGTTGATGTTCAGTCAGTTAGTGATGTATATTACGACAGTGTTCCATCACAGTAAGGGGGAAAAAAGGACCCAAACAACTCATTGTAATTATATATACATATTAATAATCCCATATTTGTTTCATGATTTTTTTTTGTTTTGTCTGTTTGTTTGTTTTGAGTTAGGAAAAAAAACGTAATTATGGACACCAAAACAATGAGGCATTTTATTTTCTTTTTGCAGCAAATTTATCAAAATTTAGGTTTCATATCAAAAGAAGAAAATCAGACAAAAGATCAACATTTCAGCTGTTTTCTCCATCTAGATTTGGCCTCAGGGGTCAGCATTTTATGTAAGGAGAACTAGATTTCTTAGTCAGTAAAAATATTTTGATCAAATTAAACTAAATGCTTAATATCTAGTGGATGATGGTGGTTGTTTTAATTGCACCTGTTTTGATGCATAGATCGTGGTAATCATATACTTATTTCATTTTCTGTTGCTTTTACATTTACAACCGCTCTCAAGAAACAGGAAGCGTTGTTTTTTTCTTGTTTAATTAGAGTTACATTTGTATTTAATTCACAACAAAGGAACCTGAGGAAGTGATTAACAGCTGAATACCAGAGCAAATTTAAATATTCAACATGCAGAGTCTTCACTCCTCTTAAAATAGGGGAGCGGAAAGTTTGGCCTGTTTGTTTGCATAATAAAAAAGGAAAACATGAGGATGGTGATGGAGGTTTGTTTAGAGGAAATGCTTAAATATGCTTCGGAAGAAAATGCAAGAATGTGTGACACACAAACACATTTGAAACTGAGAGGATAATACTCGTCACTTTAGTTCCCATCTAAACCCGGTAAGGCACATTTTCTCGTATCTGTAATCAGTGCATAATAAATGAATTTAATCTTGAAACTGTCTTGTTTTCTTCTCAATGTTATATTATTGATTTATTGTCTAGTTCTAATTATTTGGGGGATTTTTTTATTTTATTTTGACCAGCTGAACGGCGATAAAAGTGTAAAATGCATTTACTGCAATCATCAGCTGGTCTTTCAATGCGTTTGTTTCATATTTCAGCATCACACAGTAGAGGTGCAGTTCGTTCATTGAATCCCAGTAATTTTAAGCTTTTTTTTTCCACATTAAATTTGATAAATTAATCTTTATGAAATGGCTCTTTAGCTTCAGACCAACATGTCGGCTGTGGCAGAAAGTTTCGGATGTTTTGGTTAAAAATTGTAAACTGTCTTGATAGATTTATTAAAAACATACTGAGACACAAAAGTCTTCAACAATTGTTACGTCTTACCTTTTAGTGACAGCGTGCTTATTTTATCCTGTTTCAACCCAAACTGAAGCATCCAGAAACATGAAAACCTCAGGAGGGTTTTATAAATCTGTAACTTGTGGCACTAGACGTAGTGAAAAGCAAAACCAAAACCACAAGTCTCCTCAGCGAGTGAAATCTCTTCCTGAGTCTGTGAGAAATATGTACATCAGCAGATTCAGATGCAGATGATAGCAGGCTGAGAATGCTGCACAACAACTTTGTGTTGAAAGCAGTAAGTGGGTTTGGTCATGTGGATCCACAAAGACCTCAGCGCTGTGTGGGGGATTCCCCTGGGAAAAATCCCACTCATCTGAGGGCTGCCCATTGAACCACACTTCTTCAGTTCTTAGGTTTTCTTACACAACCTAGAAAAGTATGGGATCTCTTTCAGGATTTTCACAGAATATTATGGGAAATACGTGTATGGAGAAACGACATTGATTCTTCATTTTCTAAATTTTGTGTCTTCCATTTTGTTCCTTTTAATCAAAATTTGGATTTCATCCTTCTTTGTGCCATTCATTTCTTGTCTCGGCTTCTTTTTTTGCTTATTTCTATGCATGCATTCATTCTTTCCCTCCTTCATGTCCCTCCCTACCTCCTGTTACTGATTTTCACATGTTGCCAATTCAAATTTGTGCCCTTTGTAGAAATATCTGCAGTAAATCCAAGGTTTCCCTCCGAAAACTCGCTAAGCCTGGTGGCCTGCCGTGTTTTTGTGTTAAAATTTTTTAAAATTTAACAGAAAATTTGAAAATGTTACTTGATAATTATATGTTATGGGAAGATTGGAAGATTAATACCTGAAAACCCAACTATAAAGTCTTAAAAATGCAGACATTTAAAAAAACACTTAAATGAATAAGTAAAGCCTAACCTGTTGGGCTCACAGGTAAAGCCTGGTGGCCCGCCAGACTTATAAAACATTGAGGGAAACCCTGATATTCATAGCAGACTTTTTTTTTTCATCTTAAAATGAGTGTAAAGGACTGAGAACTTTGGGAAATTGAGTCCTAAAAAGCCTGGATGGTTCATGTGACTAATGTTTAGGGACTCTGTATTCTGCAAACCCATTTGCAAGATCTTTATGTTTGATGTGAAGTAAGAAAATGATCCATATTCAGGACCTCATGGCTTCAGAACTATAATCTGCAAGGGGGCTTCTGTTCATTGACTGATAGCCTTTACTTTAGAGTTAAAGACCAACCCAATTTGGATAATTACTTAGCTAACGCATTTCTTGATGTTCTTCTAAATTCAGTTCCATTAAAACTTTTGTGCATCATGTTCCATTGAAAGAATAATCCTCTTCCTGACGTACTTTGTGTTGTGATATTAACGAACCACAGGTGCTGAGCAAACCTGAAAACTGCTGCGGTCTGAAAGAAAGTGAAGTGCTTTCATTACTCCATGACGTCGGTACGTCTTCTTGCCGTTTGCACCTTTTGCATTTAGGGATATATTTCAAAGCCTCCTCACTGATTTAAATTGCTAACGTCTGGTCCAGGAAGTGGAATTCAATATCTGCACGAAAACAAGATCATTCACAGGGACCTGAAGCCAGAAAACATCGTTCTCCAAGACTGCGGTGGAAAGGTAAAATACTGCATGTCTGCGCAAATCTTGGCCGACTCTTTCTCTAAGTTTTGACATGACTGTATTTATCTGTATCTTTTGCAGGTGGTTCATAAAATCATTGACTTGGGTTATGCCAAAGATCTGGACCAGGGCAGTCTGTGCACTTCCTTTGTGGGAACTCTTCAGTACCTGGTGAACACCTAAATATGTGCTAATCTGTGACATATTGACTTAATTTAATTAATTTTATTCTGAGTTTCTATGTTTTCTCCTTTAACGATACTGTCAGATTCACTACGAATCAAACCACAGAGTAATTGGTGTAACAGTTTGCTGAAAGGGTCAAACCAGCTCCTCTTCCTCTGCAGGCTCCTGAGCTGTTTGACAACAAGCCATACACGGTCGCTGTGGACTTCTGGAGCTTTGGAACGATGGTTTTTGAATGCTGCTGCGGTTTCCGTCCCTTTCTGCACAACTGGCAACCTGTGCAGTGGTAAGATCACGATTGTCAGACTCGGGCCTGTAATTAAACTTAATTTGTCAGGTTGGGTTGGACTTTTTAGGCCCAATCTGGCATCGTGGCTTGGATTTGCAAATTAAAACAAAAAGAATTGTAAGATTTGATTAATCTACACCGTCGCACCAAAGACTGTAAGGATCCAAACACATTTGGGATCCCAGCTAAACTGGATTTGGGCAAGTGGATTTGTGTAGTTTAACGTAAAGACGGCAGATTCAACTTTTCCTTAATGTTTGTGAACTGAGAACTCTTCAGCTTTTTGGTCTTATCAGTTTCACCATTAGAGGCATGAAAAACAAAAGTAGAATCGACTCTTTTCCTCCTCTATGGCTGATCAGGTCACGTTTTTTTTTTTTCTTGTTTTGCAGGGCTGGCATAGTGAAGAATAAAGGTCCAAAAGACATCATGGCAATAGAAGATTCTAATGGTGAAGTCAAGTTCTCAACACATCTTGCTCAACCAAACAACCTAAGCAGGTTAGCGTGCTAAAAGTAAATGATAGTAATAATGTCGACATTTGGAATACTGTTCTCTGCAGGATACAGGGTTGGATGTTTTGCTTTCAGTGTAAGTTTCTCCCCATGTGACGCAGGACGCTGGTGGAACCGCTGGAAAACGTCCTGCAGCTGATGCTGAAGTGGAACCAGGAACAGAGAGGCGGTCCAGTGCAACGCGCCTCAAAGAGACCCATGTGCTTTGAGATGCTGGATGACCTGCTGAATATGAGCGTGAGTAACCAAAGGACCTGGCATCATAATGGTTGTTGTAATTATAACAGCAACTTCATGCTGTGGATCGTTTGGGTCTGAAAACCTGAGAAGTGGATTTGTATGAATGCTGTTATGATTGTCGAAAATAATCAGTATCTTGATGTAATTGAGACGAGAATAAAAGTAGCTGTTCAAAAACACGTAATCAAATTGCCTCGTTGCTGTAACACTCAGCCTCTGCCCAGTTTGTTACTGTTTCCATGGCTCAAGGTTAAGATTCAAACTAATGTAAAATATATTTACAATAGAATAAGAGGCTGTGCCTTTATTGATATTATCTTCTTGCCAAACAAGGAAGTGTCATTTTAAATGATGTATGTTGACCAGTGAAGACTGAATTCTCCACTACTTAACTAAAGGAAGCTGAAATATTGCCAGACTATAAGTAATTTTTCAGAAAAAAGCCTGAAACTTAAAAATGTTGCCTTGCTTCTAAAGTGGTATTGAGCATTTTTCTTTATATTGGTACCGAGTTTGAAATTTTAATACTGTGACAATCCAAACACTGTGTGTGTTCCGGCTGTTCACTGCATTACTGTTAATCTTCTTTTCTCTGGTTTTCAGGTCGTCCACATCCTGAATATGACCACAGCTCAGGTCCTTTCCTTCAAACTGAGTCCAGACGAGAGTCTTCACAGTCTACAGATGCGCATCGAGGCCGAAACCAAAATCGAAGTCGTCAACCAGGAGCTGCTGCAGGAGACGGGCGTCTCTCTGGACCCCAGGAAGCCGGCCAACCAGTGCGTCCCGTTGGATGGAATGGTGCGTTGGTTTACCAGTCAAAGTTTTATCTGTGTGACAGATGACTGATTGGTTAGTAAAGATCTCCAGTACATGGTTCAACAATAACAACTGTAATGACTTTTGTAGCTTTAGATATTATAATCATTAAATCTTAAGAGAACAAATTAAATTATTGCTTAAGTCTAATATCTATTTTATTTCTTAACTTAGTTCTGCATTTATTTATTATATTGCCTTCATTTAGATTAGTTATGTATGCTCTCCAATTAAAATAGTTAAATATTTATTTTATTATCAACTATTACCGGGGCTTTATTAAAGTGGCTTGTTTAATACTTTGTTCTTTCCTCCTGCTGTGTAGCGAGGGTGGGATGAGTACATTGTGTACTTGTTTGATAAGAGCATCACCAACTACTCTGGTCCCCTAAACGCCAGACACCTGCCTGAAAGAGTCAACAACATCGGTGAGTTGCTTTTAGGGAGTTGTGCTGCTTCATAAATAAAAACGGAGTGGAGCTGAGAGAGACCATGTTTTTTCTAAAAATTTTATTTCTAGTCCAAGATTCAAAAAAGTCGCTGCCTCTGGTTGAGTTGAAGAAAGTTTGGGGCGAAGCGGTGAACTACATCTGTGGTCTGAAAGACGACTACAGCAGACTCTTCCAAGGCCAGAGAGCTGCCATGTGAGTCATTATTCAGCTGCTGTCGGCCATCTTTGCGTCCAGAAACCAGGTTTACACTTGGTGGAAGAAAGAAACTACTGGCTCCAAGTAGTGATCACAATTACTAGAAATTACAGTTTAGGCACAACGTAATAAATGAAGAAGTCGATTAATTTTACTAATTTATTTATTTTTTAAATTAAACTCATGTAGATATATATTTGTTTAGATATAAACAAAGATGTATTTCAAGTCTTTGTTTGTTTTGATGATTATGACTTAAAAGATATTTAGTTTTTCAGAAAGGGGCTAGGGTTAACCCTAACCCTAACAGCTGAATACTTTACCTATATCCTGACCTATAAGTGTGTGTCTCTGTACGTTGGTGCTTCTTCTCGCTAAACAAACCCTGTGTTTCTCCTGGTCCTGCAGGCTGAGCCTCCTGCGCTACAACACCAACCTGACCCGCTGTAAAAACAGCATGTTCGGCTTCTCTCAGCAGCTCAGGGCCAAGCTGGATTTCTTTAAGAGTAGCATCCAGTATGACCTGGAAAAGTACAGCGACCAGATGCACTATGGGATATGTGAGTTTTTTATGGCAGCTGCACTGTTTTAATCTTCGAGCTGAATCACTCTGCTGGTGTGTATTGATTAGAATCCTGTGTTTGTCCAAAGCGTCTGAGAAGATGCTGAAAGCCTGGCAGGAAAATGAAGAAAGAGCTGCTACCTTTGCACAGGTAATAGAGTAAAACAAACAAAACTTCATTTAAATGTGTTTTGTTTTTAATTTAAAACTCTTTTCTGTGGTGGTTTTCTCCTGCAGGTGGCAGAAGTGAGCCATTTAGATGACGAGATCATGGCTCTGCACTCCGAGATTGTGGAGCTTCAGAGGAGCCCATACGCTCGGCGACAAGGAGACAAGATGGAGCAGCTGTGAGTGTTCAGGCTGAAGCATTTTAAACATGCAGAAGTTTAAAGCGTCAGAATTAAGATTTTAAACATTTAAATCTGTTTTATTCCAGAGAAGGAAAGGCAATAGACCTCTACATGCAGCTGAAAAGGACATGCAAAGGTGGGGATTAGTTTGCAATGTAGGCTGTCTTCCTTCCAAAACCACTAATGTTCCCCGACTAAAATTTCATTAAAATTTTGATTTTCCTCAGCTGCTGACTCGGATGGCACCAGCGACAGCTCTGAAATGGTGAAGGCCATCATCCAGACTGTCCAGAACCAGGACAAGGTCCTCAAAGATCTGTACACCCACCTCAGGTAGGAGCAAGCATCAGATTTTCTCAAATTATTTTAAAAGACTTTGTGTGAATATTCGTTTATTAGTTTTAGGGGAAAACACAACTGGATTTTACTCTGTGTCACATCAGAGTCTTTATTTTGTGTGAACAGCAAAATCCTGACTAGCAAACAGAAGATCATTGACTTGTTTCCACGGATTGAGAAGACTCTGGAGAGCATCAAGGACGCGGACAACACCGTGATGCAGATGCAGATCAAAAGACAGAAAGAGTTCTGGCATTTACTCAAGATTGCTTGTGTGAGTAGATTCTGGTAGAAACTCTGACAAGTGAAAAACCACAAAGTGCTTTACAATAAAAACAAACATAAAAGACAATTTAAAGGCAGAAAAGCCTGTCTGAAGAAGTTAGTGATTGAAGGAATGAACAGACTCAAAATGGAGGCAAAGTATTCCACTCTCCGAGTTCCTGCGCTCTGAAACATTTCTCTCCTCTGCTCCTAAAATGAGTTTGAGGAAAACAAAACACCAACATGTTGCTGTTGAGTTTCCACAAGCAATAATTTTAATATAGTTTGTCTGGAATATGTTGCAGAGCCGTTGATGCAACTAAAACTTTTGATCTTTGGTCAACAATGTCAGTAGAGCTGAATATCATCAGCAAAGAAATGATGGGAAACTGGCTGGTTGTTTAGCTTAGGGGGAAAATGTACAGAACAAAAAGTATAGTTCCTTGGACTGAGCCCTGAGGTACCCCACAAGGCGGGCTCTGAGAGTCTGCGAGGTTCTGGTCTATGAAAATACTAAGGAGTTTAGTCCCACAAAAAAAGCTGAAGTAGCCATGGTCGTCCACTGGGTGGCAGTAATGCTGTAGTTAAGGCAGAATGAAAGATTCTCTGGGTTCAGCCTTGAAAAGGTCCAGTCCAGTTCTTCAAAACATCTGGTCTTCCAGATGTTTCTTGCTTTTCCATGACTGATGGACTAATGATACAAACTTAATGCTAAAAGTACTGTTCTTGAGAATTGTTGCAAGTTGACAGAACTTTGATTTAAAGACTCTGCATGTAATTATGATTTTCTATTTTTGATTTTGAAGTAAATTGTGTAAGATCGACGCATCTTCCTGACACAAATGTTCTATTTCGACTCCTTGATTAACTGTTTTCTTCTATTTCTTGACAAGCTCAAACAAAAAGAATAAAAGTTTTGGATCAAACCAATTGAAAAAGGGAAAAGAAAACATTAAATAGTTTGCATTCTTGCATTTTAACTCGTCCCATGAGAAAACAAAGTGATCTTTGGAGTGGTGTATGGGGATCATTTAAAAAAAACCGGCCAGTTCAAGCAGGCTTTTTACTTTTCTATCACACAGAAATGGGGCCGTCTGTGTTGTTGATGGAGTCTGTTCATGTTTGTCGTTTGCGTTGTTGGTAAAAACGAGTCGTTTCCTCAGGCCCAGAACTCGTCTAGGAACTCCATGGCAACCAGTCCCGAGTCGTCCCACCTGCTGCAGGTCTCCCAGTGGTCCCAGTCGGCTCAGCCGGTCAGCTCCCCTCACCCCCTGACCTCCCTGCCCGGACGCAACGACAGGTAACTCAGTCACTCAGCACTGAAGCACATCTGGTGAACTTTAGTTATCTAATGTTTGATCACATGGTTAAAAAAAAACACTTGTTTTTCTTGGTAAATAGCTTTAGGTTTAGTTGGATCTGCAGTAAAACTTAAACTTTTATGAGCCTCACAAACAAAAGTTGAACAACTGTGCTGCTTTGGACTTTTTCTGAGCATTTGACAATATTCCAAATAGTTGAGATGGTTAAATTTAAGTTATAATCACAACATAATCAATGTTAGAAGAGGAAGATCTACAAACCATATTTAGTGTATGAAACAAAACGATTGTTGACAACAAAAAAAAAGCATTTTGATTCATTCATAAATTCAACATTAAAATGTTTTAATCTCGCCGTAAAGATTTTAATTTGAGCGAAAATATAGAGGAACTATTACATTTGATAAACATTTAAAATAAATCAACCTTTAGCAGATTTGTGGTTGGTAAATTATATCTTAAATGAGAACGGTTGTTAAATCTTAAACTATTCAAAGGTAATTATCAAATGTTTGTTATGATTTCCACAATAGGACAAACAGTACAGATTCGGCTTTCTAACCTACATCAGTCCAGGGTTAGAAATGGACCAATGAATGACTTTAACATTTCTGAAAAATCCTGATTTTTGTTCAAGAATGTCCCAAAATATACTTCATACCCAAACAATCAGAATATTTTACAACAAATGTCAGAAATGTGAGCAGACAGGAGGCTGCGTCTGTTCTCTCTCTAGGGTTGTTTGTTTTGTGTTGTTTTCATGTGACTGATTTTAGTTGGGTGTTTTTATGGTTCAGTGATGGAGCGCCACGACTGCTGCAGGAGAACCAGAAGTACCTCAGTCAGCTGACCAATCTGATGCAAGAGGCCGCAGACGAACAAGCAAAGAGCATAGTGGTCAGTTCATGGTTAATGTTTTGTTTCACACCTCATCTATCTTCTATGCAGATTTCATTTAATTTATTGATTAAATTAAATAAAGTTACTTATTAGATATTGTTCATCTGCTCTAGATTTTAGCTTCAATCTCATTTAATCCAAAATGAAAACATTCAAAAGCATCGGCTTCATTTAATATACAAACTGTCTGAAATTGAGACGATGATTTCTTTCTTCTTTTCTTTAAGGAGCAGGACTGGAGCTGGACAAAATATGAAACTTTAACAACAAAACTAAAAAAGCGAAATGCATAATAATGCCGCCTGCTGCCCCTCCTCCTGACGTTTGGACTCCAGCCCGTCGGCTTCCTGCGTTGTACAGCCGTATGTGACTCGGGAAATTCCTGTTCAGAAAACGATTTCCTTCGTTTTGCTCGGTGGTGTCTGTCTTCTCCCATCATCCCACACGGTGGCCGGTTTGAGAAATGAATATCCCCGTTTTCATGCCCGAGAACATCGACGTCGTGTCTGCTCTCCTCCTGGTCACGCTGCACAACATCCCACCACACACCATCGGTTCGTCTCCGCCGATGCATCGCTGAGCAAACTGGAGCGCCGGGTGCGTGGGCTCGTGTTGGCAGTGTCCAGAGGAAACATGGGATAGAAAAAAAAAACAGGAAATGTTCTGGGCAGAGACCTGGGAGGGGACGGATTGAAGAGGAGATTAAAGCACTTTGATACTCCCATGTAGCCTCTCTGTGAAGACAAGCTGCCGAGACCATGGCAGAAATCACTGACACAACAGAACAGAAACCGTTAGTCTCTCTCCATCAGTTTTTGTATATTTTACTATCAATGTTTTCGGGGGTTTACATTACGTGTATGTTTTTAAAAACTAGTATTATATATCCTAAGCAAAGGTGTTTTGTCATATGTGCCTCGTACATGGCTGGCCATTGTGTTTATACATTGTCTATACTGTAAACGTCTTTTAGCTGCGGCAGAGAGGAGGTTTGATGGACTGGAGGGTCTCTGCTGCATTCACATCAGAAACGGTTCAATCGATCAGAAGCTCCCATTAGAAACAAACGGCAGGAGTTTGCAGAGCAGAACCTCCTACAACAGGGTCACTAAACTAAACACGAGACAATCAAAGATAAATTGAGGAAAACCGAGCCACCAAAATTTAGTTTGCTGGTTCGACTCCCTTCACAAGTTGTATAATCGCTGTGACAAAATCAAGAGCCTTCATCAAGATAATTCATTTGAAATCTGTTCTCGCTGAGCATTTTCATAGTTTAGAGTAACAAGTACTTTGATTTTAAACCTTATAATATAGATCTGATTTTATTACTTTTAAATCACATTCTGATCGCTACTGTAGAAAACATTTAATTGTTATACTTTTGCAATGACTGTAGATTTCAGATTGAGTTTTTTTTTCCTGATGTGTAATGTTTTTAGGTTTAGCATCACTGTCACTACTGAAGGCCGATCCTAAACCCGAGATATTATTGGCAAACACGGCTCTCCATATCGGTTCTTTGGGAGCAGAAAGTGGGTTGGTTCACCAAGTATTGTAATCTGACACCAGTGGTTTTCCTCAACTGTTAGATGAAAATAATCTGAATGTGATTTGTGACGTGGATGTGAAATGCACATAGTGACCCAGAGCAGTAAACGGTTGAATGTACTGGTTCTGGTGACTGTTTGGCTGCTTTGGGCCGGAGAGAAATAACAGAGTTGTATTTATGGAGTTAAAGTGCAATGGCTTTTCTTTTTGTTCAGTTTCGTATTTATGTATCTCGATTCGCTATTTTTCTTTTTCCTTCAGAGTTGAATATTGTTTTCATCTGCCGGTTTAAATAGATCTTTGTATGTTAAGTTTTTGGAGATTTCCTTGTATGAAGATGAAATGTTGACCAGGTAATAAAAATAATAAATCACTTTGACACAGTTCTTGTTTTCAGTTGCTTTTTTAGGTTGATGTTCAGTTCTTTACTATTCATGTTCAGTTCTAAACTATTCAAACTTTACTATTTTATGTGATAGAGCAACACAAAATAAGGCTTAATCGAAAAGCAAATTAAATGTTCAAATTGTCCTACATTGTTTACTTAAAGTTAAAATATCCAAGTTTGTAGTTGGAAAAAATAAAGGTTGCCAGAATTTAGGTTTCAGGAGGAAAGTTGGAGTTTTCTCAACAATCTATACCTGAAAATCCAATATGGCTGCCTTGGTGACAAGCAGAGAAGAAAAAAATTTAGTACTTTAGTCAATACTGAACACCCTGTTTTAGATCATTTGACGGTACAAAAATGAGAAATTCATAATTAGCATGTGTTGCTAATAGCAGTTAGCCTGGTTACAGCAAACCTTGCTGGTGTTCCACATTGGAAATGGATCGCTACCACCCTCAGATGTCTCAGAAACAGCTACTTCTATGTCCTCCCATCACAGTTAACATAAAATCTCATGTACCACCTGTGATACCTGCGCCGTAGTTTGAGAAACCGGAGAGAAGTTGGTGGTTCCAGCCGTTTTCCGGGTCTGAAACAGGAAGAAGGAAGCGTTGGCACGACAACGTGTTCCTGTTTCTTAGTCATTGCTCTTCAGGACCTAATCAGATTATGAGTGAAACCCAAACAATGTAACTGTTCGAGGATTGACGGTGTGACTCAGTCCAGACCGGTTCCAGAACCTCAGTTTGTCCTGCCAGCTGGAATCAAACTTGTGACTCAGCTGATTAAACTACAACCACTGAGTGACTCAGGCAGGTCGGGTCCAGTTTCCTCCCTGCTGGACCCGGTGATTCTGCACACATGGAAACATTTCCAACTAAGCGGCAGTTGGGAATCGCTCATTTTGGTGGTGGATGGAGCTTTTTCTTGTTTTGAAACAGTCAGCTGCTCGGTTCAGTCAAGGCCGTCGCCTCCTCTGAGAAATACTGTGATCCTAAAATCTCCTGCAGAATGCGCCTCTAACCAGCAGCTGCCTCCACTGTGACCTGAGTGAATCAGCCTCTTCATTGTCTCACCAGAGCTACGAAACCTGAGTTTATTGTTACATTTACTCAAATAATAACCCTATTTTCACGCCTGGATGACTCAAAGGGACAGTTAAATTTTTATTTTAACTTCCCACAGTGGAAAGCTTATTTCTTTTTCAACTTTGAAGAGGGGGAGAAAAAAAAAACAATGAGATCCTCTTCTTTAGAGAGGATGCAGATTTAATGTAGATGAAAATAGGAGAAATTTTTCACAATTATTGGACTTTAGTTAGTCGAATCCAGAACTTTGTCAATGTCCATTTATTTACAGGGGAAAAGCTCTAAATTATTCCAACAATCCTTAAATTAAAACCGATTAAACTCAGTTTTTATGTCTTTACCACACTCTAACTTGATATATTCTGCATCTCTTTACATAATGAGAAAAACCTTAAAACTTGTAGATTGGTAGCACCTGAAATGATGGACAAAACTAAAGAGTACAGAAATAATCATTTTCTATTCTTGGGGCAGAGGGAATCACAGGAAGTCCAATATCACAATGATTTTATTTAATTATGATTTTAATATTAATGCTAAACGTTAAATACAAATAAAGTGTAAGGAAAGCTACAGTAGATGGAGGTTCCCTTCATCAATAAGTTTTACACACTTTTAATTGTCTATTTAACATAAAACTGGTTAAAAAGTCATGAGCAGTAATCTAAAACCTGGTCTCATCCTTCCTGCTTCACATTTTTATTCATCTGTTGTCACAGATGGTGCCTTTATTTCCTTTAGGATTAGTAATGACCTTCCCTAAAGTGAAGGAACTCGTCGTTGGCGTTTTTTACGTGTCAGAACGACGGCAGCTGTTTCTCACGAATCACTAAAATGACCATCACTGATCTCAGTCGTCTGTCTCTCTTGCTCTGAGTATTTCTAATGCTTCAGAGCAGATTCATCTTACAATTGACCAAAATCCTTTAGTCTCTCATTCTAAACTTGAAGTAAATGAAATAAAGTGAGATCATTGCCACCTGTCTTCCCCTCTAACCTTTCTCTAAAAAAAAAAAAATCAAAATATGGAACTGATGCCGTTTGTGGCTAAAAAAAGAGAGGCTGTAACAAACATGCAGTGTCTGTTTCATCTAAAGTGTGAATGTTTACGTCGTATGAAAAATTGCACAATTTTCAGGCAAACTTAAGTGACACTTTATTTGTTGCGAACAACAACAAAAATGGTTTTCACATTCAATCTGTCATTTATTTTACTACAAAGACAAAACTGAACATATTTTGTGCTTTGGTAGTAAAGGTATGACTTCGTGTGTCCCCCCGGCTGTTGCAGTGGAGACAGCAGTGGTTTAAAGACAAGTCAAAAGTCACGCAGAGAAGCGAAACATCGACGGCTCGTCTGAGCCGCGCAAAGCCTCCCATACGCAGGTACCATTCATAAGCTGTCAAGTACAAAACGTAGAAAACATGTAGACTGGCTTTGAGTGAAGTTCACTTCAATTTGTGAAAGTAAAACAAAAGACAGAGGGGAGCGGGAGAGGGGACTATTGTTTTTAATTGGAACCTTTATTATTTTTAAAAAAGGAGCCATTATCGAGGTTTTGTTTGTCGACTCTTTCAGAATTAGACCTTCTGACTCAGACTTTATCTCAAGTAGATTAGCGCTGCCTGAGTTGTTCAAGGTGAATGAGAGTTTAATCAAAAAGCAGCGCTTTCTGATCCTCGTCTGCTGTTAAGAGATACGGGTCAGGGCTAGAACAGCAGGAGTCCAAATGAAGTCCGGTCCAATCCGCAGAGCGGTGGACTCGGCCGTAGAGACGAGGTCAGGAGGACGGGGGCAGGGAGTGGGAGCAGAACTGCTCCTTCACATTAAAGTGGATCAGGCATCTGACCGGCGAGCCTTTATTTGGAGGCTTTATTGGGCAGAAAATATTCAACGAGACCCGTCTGCCCTCAGCCTGTTATTCAGAGACATTAGAAAAGCAGGTTATAGTCAAAGTTTGTGTCCAAAGACACACATAGTAAGAAAAGGAGGCCTTCAGAATAAAAGTTTTTTTTTTTTAAAAAAAGGCAATATACTTTTATAAAAATTAACCCTAAAGGAAAAATAAATAACTTTAATACATTACTTATAGCTACACTAATGTGAAATAAATACCCCCAAAAAGTCAAAGTGCATGTCGGTATTTGACGTAAAAAATGTAGAAAAGAGTTTTTGTTTTTGTCAACAGAGTAAAAACATCCCAGTTGCACAGCAGCTGTGCAACTGTTGCTCTTGAGTTGTTAAAGTTATTTGAACTTTAGCTCCTCCACCGTCAGTGTATTTTCAACCCTTCAGACCAACCAGAACGTCAAGCAGGTCTGATGAAGCGAGGCTTCGCCTGCGGAGGAGGCGGAGGGGGATTCTTGAATCTGGCAACAACAGGAGGGGAGGGTTTGACCGGAGGTACGGGTGGAGGACGAGGTTTGGCTCCATGACTCTGAAAATCAAAATAAAGTCAAAGAGATTTTAATGAGCTTCTTGTGCCAGTGAAAAACAATCTAAAGCGCCTTTAACCGAGGTGAGACGCTTTCTTTTAGAGAGAACCAAACCGAGAAGCGTGAATGCTTTTATTTTGACAGACCTATAAAAGGAAACTACTTCAGGAAAATGACAATAAGAGGAGTTAAATTGTGTTGCTCACATCCAAAAATTCACTAAAATCTCAAATAGACTAAACGAATGAACAAATAGAAGCACTTCTTCCCCAATGCTGAGATTTTGATCTCAGACTGTGAACCTCTAATAAAGTATTCACTCCCTCACTCATCTGATCAGATTATGCGTGACCCTGAACACCACATTATCATAGGGAAACATGGTGGTGGCAGCATCATGCTGAGGGATGCTTTTCTTGAACAGTGACATGGAAGACGGGCGGAGATTAATACATTGAAATACTAAATAGAAACTCGTGTTTAAAGATGTTCTCCCTACAATTATGTGACAGAATATAAAAAAGCTTCAGAGGATTTGGTTTCTTTCTTTGATTCTTTATTTGATACATTGTGGGGTTTTTTTGTTGTCTGATTTAATGTGAAACCGTACAAGAAGCTGCAGTCACTTCTGGACTTAAAACAAAAGTGGTTTAAAACGTGGTTCTTAGAGTGATTCACTAATTACCCTGTTTCCTCCCGCAGAGGGAGTTTGGTTGGAATGATTCACTGTGAAATCGTGGCAGACGGGGGATCTGAGCAGCAGCCGTTCGACTTTCGCTCAGACTTGACTGAACTTCAAACGGACTCACCTTTGGTTTATTCAGAGGAGATAAAGGTCTGGATGGAGGTACGGGTTTCGTCTGTGATGAAGAAGAACAAAAGAAAAACACGTTTTTTTTTTCTCACTTTCAATAAAAGTAGATGCTCAAGAAAATACATATTGAACGTAAGATGTTGATAAAGTACAATAAGTTGTTTTTAGCTAAACAAAAAGACAGTAACATTCCTTGTTTACATTTTTTCTAGTTCCAAACCTTTTTTTTTGGATGAAAACAGACACAAGAAAGTCAAAGTTTCCTAACATTTCAGGACAAATCATCTCTCTATTAGTTTGTTCTTTAGTACTGGCCAGAAAAATATTTCTGCTTCTATAATCTGTCTTCAGAGACAATTGTGTAAATATAAACTAAATATGGAGTTCCATAAAATGCAATATCATTGCTGACACAAAAAGCACCAAAAAAATAAAAATAGAAAATGGTAGAGAGAACGACACCATGATGTCACCGTCCTGTCCAACAGAGACAACATGGACCGTCTCTCTCCTCTCCGGACACAGATAGCCGCCATCTTTTATTTATATCGTCTTTTGAACGCCGGATGAGATCCAAGACTTCAGCTGCTGACTCCAAATGTGATCCTGAGTTTGAATTATGCATTAAATCTCTGAAAGATTAAAACCAGCAGCAGGCTTACCGGCTCGGCCTGAGAGGTGCAGGAAACTGAAGGAGGTTTTGGAGCAGGCTGAGGAACAACAAGGAGTTGGTTACTTTGGGTGAACAAAATATGCTGCTATTAAGTGGATAAACATGGAGGAGGTGAGTGTACCTGGGGAGACACAGCAACAACCAGAGGACGGCAGACCTGGGAGGAAGTGGACTCCATCAGAGTGGGCTGGCTGATCTGAGGTCTGTCCCTGACGGCTTTTTCCTGAAACCCGGGGTTCAGTTTACCGGGAGATGATTGTTTTTTCCTGTGCAAATAAGACTCAGTCAGCAGGGAGGATCCAAACCGAGCGTTCAAAGAGGGGAGGAGACGATCTACCTTTTATACATGTTTCTGTCCCTTATGTTGCTCTTCCTGCAGCACATCAGTCCTGCGATCACCAGTGTGATCACCAGCAGGGTCGAGACCCCTGCACACACTCCAGCTATCATCACAGTCTGACCTGCAGGCGGGAAAAGGAAAATACACTCTGATGTCGTCTATTTTATTAACGTATTAAATGACATGCTTCACAGACTGAACATTTCACACCAAACTTTTCAGATGTATTTATTTCTTTTTAAAACTACACAGAACTTTTTCATCTACAATAATTAACTACTTTTAGTCGGTCTATCATATAAATCCATATAAAACACATTGAGGTTTGTGGCTGCAGGACGACAAAATATGAGAATGGGTTTGGTCTAAAAGCGGCAGAAATGTGGAGGTTTACCTTTAGGTATGTCTGCATATTTGATGTCACAGTGCGGCGGAGCCCACCCAGGATTACAGTGGCATTCATTCTTGTGGTTACACACCTAAAAATGAAGTTTAAAAAACACTTCAAGAGGGTTTCCAAACTTTCCAACAGTGTGACAACCAGTTTTAATTTGGTTTTATCTAGTTCACAAGTACCAAACTCAAGATCAGTTTTCATCAAGATTTTGGCACAACCGGCCCTTTAAGAGCATTCATGATCTTAATTTGGCAAAAAACGAAAATGAGTTAGTCATTTTAATTTACCTAATGGCTGGGAAAGGCCTATGTGCCCCACTTACATGAGCAAAAGCACAACTGGTCTACAGAGACACTATGAGACGTACCCCGTTGTTGTTACATTTCTTTGCACACTCCTCTCTTTTGCCGAAAACTGAGACATCCACACATTTGCTGCCGAGGCAAACCTGCAAAAACGTTTTACCTTGAGCAAAAGAAGTCAAGATAATTTGCATAAAGTGTCTCCTTCCTGAGATTTGTTATTTTTTTACCTTATTGTCTCCACATGTGGTTCCATTTGGCACCATATCAAAGTTTCTGGTACTATCCACCTCAACAGGAACCCTACACGTCGCACCCCACACTCTGAAGGCCGTGTATTTACCAGTGATTGGCTCCTCCCCTCCAACACAAAACATAGACCCGCACTTCCTGTCCCTGCAATAATAGAAACGGTTAAGTTAATCAAAAATCTACTGAGGATTTAGTCACATTCCTGGCACCTGCAGGTGCTGAACAGATTTCATTTGAAATGATACATACTGAAGGGAACACTTGATGAAGCTCTGTCCATCCCTCCCACAGTTGGCCCCTTCCTGACCCCGTTTATTCAGGTCGAAACAAAAATCAGGGCCCTCTTTAGCTCCTGCGAAATGAAACCAAAAGAGTGATATAATTTTGACATTTTGGCAACACATTAAACAATATTTCTGAATGTGTGTGCAGTACCTTCTCCAAACAGCCTCCAACAGAGCTTCGCTCGTGTGGGACACTGGCCGTCGTAGCAGTAGCCCGGCGCCTGGCTGTAACAAGGCTTGCCGTTCATCTCGAAGCTGTCTGCGGGACAATCCGCTGAGTCACCGCTGCAGTATTCAGGGAGGTCACATGAACCAGCAGCTCTCCGGCAGATGCTGCCAGACGCTTTCAGCTGTGGGTTGCAAAACATGCCAGATCAATAAAAAAAATAAAAATAATGCTTAAAAAAAAAAAGTCTGGAGGATAAAGATTTCTCTGCAGTGATGTTAAACACTCATCGGCGCTTATCACTGTGTTTAATCGTATCTTTTTCTTGTGAGCTCAAAGTTGACGTCCTGTTTTAAAGTCTGCAGAATCCGTAAATGAACAGAGGAGTTCAGCACCTGACAGCTTTCACAGCATTCTCCATGAGCGCATTGAGATCCCTCAGTCAGGCGACACGTTGAGGCATCGCAGCAAGGATTGATGCATTCCTAGTAAGGAAACATGAACAAGCAACCATGAGAAATGTGTAGATTTATTTCCAAGAGCAAAACTTAGGAACATTCAAAATGCTTCTGTCAAGGCTTCCTTCCAGAACACTACAAAAATGCCAAAACACTGAGTTTCAAATGATCAAAATATTTTATGCACATGACTTGATTTCATTTGTGGCATTTGACAAAATCTGAGGTTTACTGATTTCATAAGTTTACTGACTTTGAATTGTTGAAATGTGCTTTATACATAAACTTGTGAGTTTTTGTGAGTTATTTATATTAGAAGCAGGGCCAAGAGAACAGTTTAGTAAAAAGATTTTTACTAATATAGAAGAGATGCTTCCGATTGACATTTTAAACTGCCTTTAGCGTCTTATACTAGAGTTTACTAGAGTTGAAGGTTTTTACCTCTGCTGTACCACAGTCACACTCCTCTCCACGGTCCAGAAGGCCATTACCGCAGTGAGGGCCTAATGCGATGGTGCTGATGCGGCCTGGTGGGTCCAGGCAGCTGGGCTGAGCTCTCTCCATGAACTGAGCGAGTTGCCGGATGCTACAGTCACTGAAAAAATCTGGGAAGCCCTGGCCTCCAACACTGAGAGGGAGGTAAACACAAGAGCGTTCGCTAAGGATTTAAACAAATTGAGAAATAAGCTGACAAAACAGTTTTAACATCATTGGCTCTTACTTGAGCTTTTCAGTCATTACGCAGTTGTTGCTGTAAGCTGGGCCACACACACACCCCGCAGCATCGTGGGACATGCCGAAGCTATGCCCCATCTCATGAGCAATGGTGGAGGCGAGGCCGAGCGGGTTACCATGGTGATCCTAAAGCAGACATGGAGATCTGATGCTTTCAAAGGTAAAACAAAATGCTGTCCATTTGCTTCTGCTGTCACACCCACCTGATTGACTCCCCCAGAGTTCACGGTGCACATGGCAAACTTATTGGCCAGTCCGACTGTGTCGTCAGAAAAGTCTTTGCCCCTGTGGAAAACGAGAGTCTAACATGAGCTCAAACTGTGGGTCAAAGATTTAAACTTCTCCGGTATTTGCTCCTCGGCAGTCCTCACGTCACGAGCTGGATGTTATCATGCTTTGCTCTCTTCAGGAGGTCGGCCTGGCGCCACACCATCAGGTTCTCCAGAGTCGTGTCTGGGTTTCTGTCCACGACGACGAGATCTTTGTAGAGCCAAATCTCCAAGCCCACCAGCATGATGCGGATGTTGATGGAGCGGTACAGCTGCAGGCGGAGAAGAGTGAATGTTCAGAGACAAGCAGAACTGATTACGTTTCAAACTGCAAACAGCTGGGAACAAATATACCTTATCAATGTGGTTCACAACACCGAGAATACGTGACCTGGTATCGTCTCCATACTGTTTGTACTGCAAAAGGAGAAAATATAACATTGTCAAGATTGGTTTTCCTAAAGATGTACACATGTAAAGCAAGGAGCCAAACTTTTTTGTAAAATCCAAAAGATTTTACAGAAAAATAAAATTCTGTAATCCTGTTCCATAGGCAGTTTGCTACCAATGGAACAATATATGAGGGTCAGCTTTTCTTATGGTTTTGGTATTTAGTTATTAAAATGTAATCTTATCAATTTTCATTCAAACATCGATTTACATCACAAGGACTCTTGGCAGAGTTCTTTTGAGTACAACCGTTTGTATCTATCCTGTTGAGTTTTCCTTTTTTCCTGCATTTAAGACACATTTCTTTCCTTACTAATGCCAACTAGCCAGCTGTATTCTTGTGCTTTGTGATGTAATCAACCCACGTCCACAAGGCAGATAGTGGATTCATTTTCTCCAGCATGCTTCGTTTATTACTCTTGGCATCCATCGGCTCGTAAAACAAGAGTTGCAGCAGAATCTGTAATCAACGTACCCACCTCAGTGCTGTCCACCACCACGTACAGCTCGACAAACTTCTGAGGCCCTGGTGGTGATTTTGTTTTCTGAATGGAAAAAAAAGGATATTTAGTTTTCATATTTAAAATTGAGAAACAAAAATAAGACGATGCCTTTCAGAAAGACTCTGTGAAACTCAGGAGAAAGTGCAAAAACTCTTAGAGAAAGTGTAGGCTCTATCTGCAGCCTGCGCCGTAAACGTTAAATGTTCAGGACGAAACAGTGAGAAAAAGACTCAAACGCGGTTTGTTTGGAAAAATTAAAGCAGAAAGAAAATCATCGGCCATCATACATTATCAGATCTCCCTATCATATAATGGCATTGTGGTGACATATATCGTTTCCAATCTTAAAAGGTAAATCAAACCAGCCGCTAGCAAACCAGCTGCTACATTTCCAATTCCAGGGAACATAAGACGAACCCATGATCTGGACCTGAAGAGGCCTTCTGGCTGAGGGTTTGGCTCCTGGTTCTGGTCCCGATCAAACAACCTGGAGGCATTAGAAGAGAAGCCAGTGCCGGGCTGGCCGGGCGTCGTCAGGTGCTCCTGTCTGTAGACAGCGTGCTCTTCGTCCGCAGTCTGTCCCAGAGGCTCGATCAGGTAAACCTGCTGCCGGACTCTCAGAAAGCCGCTGGCACCAACACAGGAAACAGCAGCAGGAATTACAAATGTAAACATGCCTTTGGACAAACTGTTCACATAAAGGCAAGAATGTTAAAAAAGAGATACATAAGATATTTGCAGATCATAGAAAACAACCATGAGACTAAAGAAGTTGACAAAATATGAAGCAGGAGTACTCTCAGTAATTTTCCCGGGAAGCTGCTTTGAGTAAGAGATGAAATGCAAAGAGGAAGAGTCGGGTTGTGAGGACGTGCTTTACCTGATGCCCGAACAGATTCCCACGCTGACCGAGGAGTCAGCCTCACCTTGAACATGTCCGTGGTAGAAGCAATGTTCCTGCAAGGAAACGTCATTAACAAAGAGCCTCTTTGTTTTCCACATCCATAAAATCCTGAGTTGCACATTTGGAATGCAGCATTTTTATTATCATGGGTCACTGGAGGACAATCTGAGGCCTAATACTAATATTTAAAGACAAGCATTTTGTATATTTATACCAGAGACCAGAATTGTGCAACTAAGGAAACTTCTCCAGGTCTACACTGAAGAGCTGCTGTCCTACAATATTACTCTCTAAAATGACCAAAAATAGGTTGTACCTCATTTGGTGATGTTGTCACCCTTTTTCCATCCTCTGAATAATATGTTTCAGTGTAACGTTCACCAATAAGATTCCTGTGAGCAGAATAAAAGGTCAGCATTTGATTTTACAGGTACAAGCTGAGACACTTTAGTGAGAATCTGATTTTTACCTGTTCTTTTCCAGATGAACAGAGTGGTTTTTGCCTTCAATCATCAAGTCATACTGAACTGCGTCAGGATAAAGCTGCAGAAGTTATAATCATTCATTACTGTAGAGATTTTAAGTTATGTAAAATCATCCATATGACTGTGGCCATTTAAATGTTAAATTGAGGACTGGGGTTGTTTTTTTTCCTGTCACTGAAGATGAATAGGTCTATGTGATTACTTTGTTGGTGATGAATTGACTGATTTTCAACAGCTTTGCTACAAAAAAATGGATCCAGTGTTTTCAAGGAGCCTGCTAAACATTCGTGGAGTGAACCATTTTACTTTGACAACATCATGTGATTCTTTATCAGATCTCACCAGATTCTTTACATCCTGGATCTCACAGTTTATGAAAATGCCTCATATGAGGCAACTACATATGAGGCATATTTTCAGTTTCAGATTAATTGATGTTGCTTATGAGTGATGAGTGCAGCAAGAGACGAATAAATGGATCTGAGCAGGGCTGAAATGATTAATCAGATTAATCGTGACGACCTGATTCTGAAAATAATCAGCTAATTTAATAATTGATTAATCGTTAAAAAGACACTTTGCAAAGAAAAAACAAAAACGGCACATTCAGAGCAATAAAACAGGCCAAGACTGTACAAAATATACATTACATATTTTGCATTTAAGATAAAAGTCTGTTTGTCTGTAAATATGCTTGATTCAGACATTATCTGCTTAAATTTGAATGGTCTGCTGTGGTGAAGGAAGAGCCTAGCTGACCGATAAAGCTCTTCATTTACATCACCGAAACTCGAACTAGAGTCAAGAATCTGATCAGGATGCGACCAAAGCGTCGCCCTTTGAAGGTTTGCCTGTTCTAATGAGAGGACAGAAATCCCCAGAGCGGTGTGGCTGTTCTTGAACCTGACAGCCATGGGCAAATCACTAAACAAAGATGACAAAACAAGACCAGAAATCCCTACACATATGTGACAGAGAAATATTTCCCAGACTGATGAACAGGTGAGGCGATCTCACCTGGTTGTCCTGAAGGTTCCTGCTCCGTCTCTCGTGACGTCTCTGAGGTCGGACCACTTCGTACTGCTGGACATGAGACAGATGTCCTGAGCCGTGTAAGACAAAACCTGGAAACCACAAACGCAGGTCGCTGCATCTCAGCACATGGAAAAAGTTTGTATTTTAATAATTACATTTAAAAGGTCAGATTTTTAGATTTTATGAATTCAGTGGACCCAGAGAGAAATAGTTCAAGACGTTATTGTATTCAGTTTTGATGGATTTGGCTAACAGCTAATGGAAATACATAGTTAGACCAATAAATCATGTTATATTTCAGATATGTTAACCCGCTGAAAAGTAGAGCTGGGTACTGACCAGAATTTGCACTCAGCAATTTATCAGCAACATTTCACCTTTTCCTTGCACTTAACTTTCCATTAATACGATAATTCTAGATAATACACGTAGAACCTGCTGTTCTAGTAATGTTTGCCAATTCTTTTTTTTAAACAAATTTTTAGCAGCTAATTTTAGTTTTTGTCTTCGTTATAAAAACAGTAAAATCCTGCTTTAATTAAATTCTATTCAAAAATACTTTGTTTATCTCAAAGGGACATCAAATGTTACATAACACATAAATGAAGTATCTTCAGACTGTCTACTGTACAACAGTATCATGACTGCCAAGTTGTCCTGACAGCTCAATTTCTGAGCAGCAGAGACAATATTCCACAATATTATGTCCTGTCTGTTGTTAGCACTGCTAATCCACCATCTTTTCTTCTTGTCGCTCCTCTTTAAGTCTCTGCCTGGTTAGAAAGCCAAGCAGAGAAACGGAATAGGAAATATGATCCTCACACATTATGAATGATGGCTTGACCTTCCTCCTTATCTCTCCTTTCTGTGGTTCTGTTCTGTATCCATGTAGCCTACTTGTTGTTTTGGGGGTCATAGTTCAGATATTATTTGAGCTTTTGAGATGCTAATCAGCTGCTGCTGCCAGGTATAAAACCAATACTTTGCTACCACGGTTATAACAACTGTACTAAAGTAAAGAAGTAAGAGCACAAATTTGAACAGCTGCACAGCATCCAAAACTATTGGGAAGAATTGTACAAACATGGAATGACTCAACCAAATAAAAAAGAAAAAAAGAAAGCGAAAAGTCTGGAAAGAGAACAAATCAGACACCAGATCTGTTCCAACATGCAGCCGCTGCAAGCGGCGCCATTCTAGACACGATTGCTCAATTGCAGCAATGGCAAATAAAACAAAAAAAAAAAAACATTGAGTGTTGTTCTTTTTCTTAGTTTATAATAGTTCTGAAATAAATATTTTTTTTTATTAAAATGTGTACTGGAAGGTCAAAGCCTCACAGAAAAAAAAAATCTTGTCTAGTAGAGTATTAAACCAGAAATAAGGGCTTGCTTTTCTGTTTGGGTGGTTTTCAGATATCATGCAGTCATGGTAAAAACAGAAGTAAAATTGTTGCTTTGTAACTGTTGAGAAAAAAAAAAGCTGCCAAGACGTCCTAAAATTGGATCAATTCCGTTTTGCAGAGGAACGTGTAAATTCTGTACTATTTTTATTGAGTAGGAAGAAGAGCAAAATGGTTTTATAGAAGCTGCTGGACATTTGCGTGCCTGCTCAGAACATACCTCAGGATAAAACTGTATTAAGACTCAATATAGACGTCCAGGAAGCCAAAGTCTTTAGAAACGGGGGAAATGACAGCTAAACTCAACGAAGCACTGGGTCCCAATATCATCATTTGTTTATGTTGCAGAAAAGCAACATAAACGGCTAAAACTGCGAGATCCTGACTGAGGTGGAGCCGTTTTGTTCTCACCAAGATTAAAGTATTTTTTATGAGTTTGTAATGTTTTGTGATGCAGCTTTAAATAGCTTAAATAGTAGTAAAATTGTCGATACATTAAATAGGGGAAAAAAGTGTTGGGCTGTTTATCTTTATCTACCGCCAACATAATGTTCTACACAAGTGAAAACATAAAAAAAATGACGCATAACAACTTAAAGCTAATGCCCAATGTGTATTTCAGAAGTTTTTAACTGGTTTTTAAAACCTTATTGTACTTAAAAGTCTTAACTTGTTGCTGCAGAAGACTTTTAGAACCTTTATGCTAAAAGGGTCTATTAGCTGAAAGGTTATCTGAGTCTATATAACTTTTTAACCTTTTTTTTCTGGTTCAGCGAAAATAAATAAACAAATAAAACTTACCCCAGACCAGGCACAGAGACAGCATGTTCTGCCCGACGAACATTGGACGTCCGCCTGCCGACAGCCTCTCTGCTGTCGGGTAACTTTGCCGTGAATCGTCGCTGAGGCTCCGTCTGAGGGGGTTAGTTAGATCACTCCATCTAGTCATTTACCGAAACCGTTACGAGAAGACGATGAGTCACTTCCGGCAAATAACGTTTCAAAATAAAACCAAAACTTGTTCCTACAAAAAACTGTTTTTTTGTAAGGACCCATTCAATATTTAGGATATTATTGAAAATTCTGTAACTAACTCACTATGTGAAATACATTACATAGATCAGTTACTTACAGACTGATGTTTTCAAGTCTTTATTTCTGTTAATTATTATGGCATTCTGATTACAACCAGGAAAAACATTTAATATTACATCAAAACAAACAAAAAAAAATATGCTGAAATGTGGGCTTATCAAAATATTTAAATTTACATGTTCAAAAAAAGCACCCTTACACTGACAAGCCACACCAGAGCACATTTTCTAACTTATTTTTATTCTCAGAAGAAAAATGTAATTAAATATGACCAATCTTGATTTATGTATTTAGTGCATGTGCTAAACAGGACATGCACTAAATACTTGTTTGGCAACTGTGCAGATATTTTTACCTTCCACTAAACTTTCCATTAATAAGTCCTTTGTAAACAGCTCAATAGTTTAGAAAACCAAATTCTATGGTTTATCCTCTTTGTAGAGAGTAAACCATAGAAAGATCAAGTAAGCAGCCTCTTCAATAAGCACATACAAGCGTGATACAATTCAGTTTTCTCTGTAGTTATTTGTTCCAAAGTGTATAAACTGAACTGGGTAAATAAAACAGCATTAAAAATATCTAATGTTTAAACCCATTTCTAGTTTTCTCCAATAGGTTGCAACAAACTCAAGTGGAACTGGCAACAAAACCCCCATCTTCTCCAACCTTGAGAAGGCATGTTGCATTATCTGGCACAAAGTCTGCACAAATATCTTCTAAACATTTTCTGATAGTCACCAGCATAATTCTTCACTTATCTCTACGTGTTTCAGATATTTTCTGGCTGCCTCACTGAACTAAAATGGAAATGATTGAAGTCTATAGTGACATCTTAAATGAATTATTCCATTTAGCTCCAAGACCGTTTAAAAAGAAGCCTTTATCTTCCTTACCTAGTTTCAGTAAGAACCACTGCGTTGAATTAAGTGCAGCTCGATTGTCACCAATTGAGCTGCACTTACATTCCTTTCTTAAATTCTCCAACTCTTGCTCTAACATCAGTTTTCTTTGTGGTTAATCACAGGCTTTTATTCTGAATTCGCTAAACTTTTTCCTGTTAGAGTCTTGAAGTTGTTTGCAATTGACCAGCACACAAGCAAACAATTCAGTGAAATTATTTAAGCATTTTTCTCTAACAAATGCAGAGGAGGTTGTTCACATGGGGATTTTTTTTAAATACAAAAGATGCTGACTAAAGATCACAAGTTTTATTTAACTTCAAATACACATTTCCACTATACAGGCACAATAAGTTAACGTTGAGTTACATTTCTCAGAGCTGAAGCATTAATATGACTCTGCACATTCAAACTACATTTCATACAATATTATATAACAATATGCACATAGATGCAGCTGTTTGCACCGTGGTTAAAAGGTGCACTTTGATGCACAACCATGAAGAGAGGTCTTTTTATTGCAGAATGACATTTTATTTACAAACACAGGAGAAGACATGCTACGCTGCAGCTTTCTGGCTGCGCTCCACAGCCATCCTCTCCAGCCGCTCTGTGTAGAATCCGTTAAAGTCCAGCCTGTGGAGTCAAACACATCAGAACTTCCTCTTAAAACCATTTGAAACTGATGAAAAAGCATTGTTACTTTAACTGCACAATTTAATAATAAAGCTATTTAAGATGATCAATTAAACTAGCATATGATAAATTACTTTGTGAATATATAAAAAGCAGGAAGGAAAAATATGTGGTACTCTCTCTGTTTCTCACCTTTGTTTTATTTTCATAAAACATATAAAGTGCATAAGGCATACTTTATCTTAAGCACATTTATGCCACCATTTTTGTGCAAAAGCTCAGATTCCCGGTTTGCTCTGGGAAAACAGTGAAGGGAAGCGTCAGAGCTGTAAAGTTGGAAGCGATGCTGCTGGGTTTACCTGTAGATGATGCTGATCATGCTGTGCTCGCAGTCGTTGGTGCTGTAGATGCTCAGCTTGTCCAGCAGGTCCAGCAGCATCAAGCTAAAGTTACTGTCGAACTTTCCGATGGTGGCTTCGAAGCTGCCGTCTGACTGGAGGCCGTCCTCGCCTAAAAACTGAAGCAGCAAAGAGAAACGCAAACTGGACAATCAACCAAAACCGCTCACAGGTGTGGGCAATGGATGGATGGCATTTTTCATTCTTCGGTTTGGTGAATCTGGCTTCATTTAACTGGAAGGTTAAATTGACAGCTATTCATTCCTTCCCAGTGCCTACATGGTAATTATATCACTTTATTTTTCTTCTGGTCAATACACTGCAACCTACTTTCTACTGCATACAAAACGTTAAGTTAAAATTGTTTGCACGAGTTTAATTTAATAATCTAACACACGTTCAGTGAAAAACTATAAAAAAAGCAGATTTAACTGTATTGGTTCATATTTGGTACAACACAGTGAAATAAAAACATCTCAATTTACCATTAATAGCAGCACGGTGAGTTTCTAAGAGGGCAGAGTTGTAAGGAGCATCGTCTTTAAATACCTTGGTGTTTGGCCTCTTTTTCTCGACCTCATCCAGCTGTTCGCTTGCAGCTGCAGATCTGTCCACCGCTCCCTGTTCGTGGGAGAGGCGCTCCAGCCTCATACTCTGGGTAAATGTCTACAAGACCCAAGAAAACACAAAAGAGACAGAATATTACTTTTCAGGCAGCTCAGAGGAAGAGATCAGATCTCCGAAAGCTGAATAAAAATCCAGATTAGTCTTTACAAATGCACTCAGAGAAAAAACCTAACTTGCACTGTTTAAAGGCAAATCAAGCCATTTTAAGCAAATGTACATAAATCTTTGAGTTTGGCGTGAAAAAATTAAATAAAATCTGCAAGTTTCACCAACACAAATTTAAGACTAGTGGTTAGTGGTAGCCTCAACCACCTCAATGCACAGAACTCAGTGCAGAAGTCTGAGCATGACTACAATCTTTAATTAATTAACACTAAAAGAAAACTACAGTCTTAAATTTTGCCACAATAAAAATTACGACGTGATTAACGTATTTAAGGCCAACTTATTTGTTTTCCTCCCAGTTTTAAATGCATGAATTAAAGACTCAATACTTTTTAAGGAAGCACAGATACCCTGAATCCTGTTGACTTAAAACAGAAAAGGTTCAGTCTGAATTACTGTCCAACAATGAGAGAAAAATGTTTTATAGTGTATGTAAACATCTGCTTTCATATGTATAGTTACATACTGAGCTTCTGTCAGAACAGGAAACAGCTGCATCCTGAGAATTCATGTTTTTTAACTTCAGTCTATTTTTGAAACTTCTTTGCCGATGTGCAAGTATGATTTAAGACGTCGGCCGTTTGAACCCTACGGTTTAAGTTGATCTTTTTTTCTTGTTATTTTCTCACTTCCACAGACCTGTATGCAGTTAGTGAACATGACGCAGACGGACATGAGCTTGGAAAAGATCCTGAGCAGCTCGGGGTTCGTCAGCATGCAGTCCTTCAGACAGTTGTCCAGGAAGCTGGTGTGATGGCACAGAACATCGTCGATGTTCGAAGCCTGACGAAGGAGAGCAAACAGTCAGTACTGGAAACAGATCAAAGCTGCGTGAGGATTTATTGAAATAATTCTCTCACGGTTTTCAGGTTGTTCTCCATGATGTGCCAGGTCGGCTCCATCACCTCGAACATCATGTAGTACTGGATGTTCTGAACGAAGTTGAGCATTCTCTGGCGCAGGGCGAACGCAGCTGCAAACCTGCACAAAAATCATCTTTAACTCAAATATTACCACTTTAGATTCCGTTTTATGTGTCTTGTAAGTGCATTTTGCAAAGATTTCAACATTTTTACAGTTATTTGCATTACTTTCTCATTACAAGTATGAGTCTTCTGTCATCAGTTTCTATGACTAATGTCTAGTTATAATAATTAGGGATGAAATCCCAGGCTGTCTTGATTTCAGATGGTCTGTAAGTCCATTATGCATCAACTATTTTCTGGTCCATTTTTGTTTACACTTTTCCACCTTTGCTTAATTAACCTTTGGAAAACATTAAATTCTTAAAACTCACCATTTAGCAGAAGGCAAAGTATACAACTTGAAGTCTTTGTTGCTGATCCAGACATTGCACAGCAGCCGCTCCACATGTTTACAGTAAAACATGTGTCTGAAAAGCATCTGGTACCTGGTCAGAGCTTTCCTGAAAGAATAAAAAGGATGGCTAAAGCTTTCTACTCATTTCCAAATAAACGATTAAAAAGGTTTCACAGATTTGAATAAATATCTGATTGGATTTAACAATAATACACTATGAAATAGTGGAACCATATGTCTATGTCAATAAATAGAGTCTCAGCCTATAAAAAATCCTGATGACAGCATCTTTATCTACACATTTGCTTCAATTTTCCTCTGGGTTAGGGTTATGGGGTTTCACATTTTAAATGTCACATTTTCCATCAATTTTTTATCAAATTAGTCAACTTAACCAAAATCAGCTGTGATGTTCAAGGTTCTCTGTTTAGATTTCAGTTTAAGCTGCTCAAGGCTTACAGCATATCTGCTTCATAGTCATCAGCCACCACTTTGAATTTTAACTAAATCCCAACATTTCTCCAGGAAAGTCATTAGAAAATGGAGGTTATGCTTGCAGATTTCTGTTCAACGCTATTTAAAGTTTGAAATAAAAAAAGATAATCTGTGTTTAAGTGTGATTAAGAGGAACCTGTTGATGATGAGCGACAGCGGCCACTTGACGATGTAGTCAAAGGAGAAGGCCTCCAGCCCGCTAAGGGCCCCATCGGTGGGCTCCGCATTGATGATGGCCTTCTCCTGCTTGGTCTCAATGGCGAGCACGCGCAGCAGCTGAGTGATCACATCATGAGGCATCAAGTCGATCTGAGGACATCAGAAAAAAGTGAGCGATTTTTCAACTTGCATGGAATAAAGATTTTGATATTTTTTTCACTTGTTTTCTGTTGATTAACTTGCTGTCCATAAAAACTACAAAATCCCCCTAAAATTAAGGGAAGATTTAATTCTAGCTCATCTAATGTTGAATATTTAAAAAGAAAAAAAAACCACAAGCAGTCCATCCTTTTCTATATTAAAATTCCAAGGTTTAAAGATCAACATTAAATTTCTCTGAGTTCTGGTACTGAACCTGGAAAAACTACTGACTGTACTTAATATTATAGTCATAGTTCTGATTACAGACACTCTCAGTGAGTGCCAGCCGGAAACATCCTTGAAGGAATCAAATTCCATATTTTCCCAGGCTGTGTAGAAACCGAGGGGTGGGTATGAACAAGGACTCTCCACTTTTACTTAAGTTTTTCCTGATAATTAACTTTGTTTAATGTTCCAAACTCAAGCCGTTTCTGCAAGGCCTGACTGAAACTGAACCATAAGGAAAGCAGTGATGCAACTTTCTCCCACCTTCAGGTCGTCTTTGAAGGGGTCGGTGTTGGCTGTGCTCATCCTCAGAGCCAGCTCCAGCAGCGCTTCGAGTCGGGGCGGAACAATGTCATCCACCGGTTTCTTTAGCTCTTCCTCTGTCAGGTCCATGAAGTGCACAAAGAAATCTCCTTTGTCCATTAAAAAATAGTGCTTGATTGACCTAGTGGACATAAAGTAGACGCTTATCATTTAAGGTCAGTAGGTTGAGTTGTTTCACTCAAGGGAGAGGTGCAGAAAACAAGCGGAAACTTTCACTGAAGCATTTCTCCATCATTCACCTGAGACGTAAAACCAACTCCTTCTCGTCCATGAGGAAGTCCAGTAGGACCTTGCTGGCGTAGTTGTAAGCTTTCTCTATTTGCTCCACGTAGGCCCGTTCCTTCAGCGTGTACAGCACCTCCTTGGCATCCGGACACGTCACATCTCGGCCGCACTCCCGCACCACATTCAGGTACTTTCCTATAAAATAGTAAAAAAACAACTGCTGAAACGCAGGAACTAAAAAGCCGCTTCATGCTTTTGTTTGTTCTTACCTGTGCTCAGTATTTTGTCGGCCATTTTCTGGAGAAAAGAGGGAATCCGGTGCTGTACGATGGTGTATCTCTGATCCCAGTATTTGTCGTTGTAATCTTCCTGGATTTTCTCCTTCTGCAGCTCATGCTCCTCCACCATAAACTCGCTGTGCAGCAACAAAATGCAGACACAATAAGAACATCTCAAGTCTTTTTTGCAGCATCATGTTTCTTCATATTTTGTTACATTACAACCACAAACTGCATTGTGTTGGCATTCTGCCATAGCCCGACACAAAGTAGTGCATAAATTGCTAGGTGAATGAAAAATGATAAATGTTTAGATTTGTTTCTCAAGTGTCAAGATAAAGAGGGTTTTTTAATTTTAAAAGAAGAAACACAATTTTTCTTCTTTGCTTTTATGCAAACATAGAAGAAAAAGTTGTAACAAGGTAAAATTTGACAAGGTTCAGGTAATTCATACTTTCCTTTGGCTTTTTTATTTTTCATTGATGTAAAAATATAAAGAAAATACTTTTCTCTTTCTGATTTAGCTGTACGAACCTGTAGGGATCCTTGATGATTCCTCTGTAGATCCACTTCTCCAGGATTTCAAAGTACGGGACGCTGGCTGCTTTAGTGAGGTAGAGGCACAGCTCCTGAGCCTGGCTATCACCCGTGTAGTTGAAGGTCCGGTCATGAAGAAGGCTCAGTGTCGCTCCTCCCATACATTCCCCTTTGTCCAAAGAAGAAGCTGAAAATTTTATTTTTACAGAAAAAGGTTAGTGAGAGTTATTCCGGCAAGAGTTGTTGTCAGTCATGAGGCAATACATGACTATTTTTATTTTAAAGGTGTTCTGAAGAACAGAAGATTGCTTTATTAAAAGTAGGTCTGCATTTTGTTGTTTGTGTCTCTGTCGCCCTCTAGTGAGAACGTCAGGCAAAACAAACTTGCAGGTAGAAGCAGGGACTACACAGTCAAATATCAGATCAAAAAAGTGTTCAGCTTCTTACCGATAGACGCCAGGATCTCCATGGTCCTCATGGTGGGTTGGATGTAGAACCAGAGTTTCTGCAGAGACAGAAGGCCTTGCCGCTGGAGGTGCTCCAGCTGAGTGACCAGGATCAGGTACTCCTTCATCAGGGTCCTCATCGCCGCCGTCAGAGCGTGGTTCACCTGGCCGTACTCAAAGGACGACTTCTCCTCAATGAACCTGGAAAACACATTCAAGCTCTTTCAAGCTGATCAAAATGAATCATGTTTAAAAGTTCAACCTTTTTAGTAATTCATCATTCCTCTCTCGAACAGATCCAGTCAGTCAGCATGTGGTTTATATTGTAACTTCACAGCAGAGTAAACGTCTTCTGAATTATTTTCTGGATTCTAACACATTTTTTATGATTTTCCTGAGTTCTTAATCCTTAGTAGCAAATATATTCTACAGCTTTAAGTGAGTGAAGACAACATTAGTTTTCTGAGCATTTTTACTTGGAGGAAAAATGACTAAACAAAGACGAGAGTAAATTAACAATTTCATGTAACATAGATGTAGAAAAAAACTACATTTGATTATTACAAGTGAAGCGAGGACGATAGTATATAAATTACGTCATTAAAGGAAGTATTTACTTAAATGGGGACGGAAATCCAAAATGATCTATATCTGCAGTATTTTAATCATAAAGTAGTAGATTTTAAGCGTTTGTTTCTGTTAACATTGATGATTACAGTGTAATTATGAAAATGACAACCTAAGATTCTGTTTCTTCTCTTTACCGTGTTATAGTTGAGTAATACGATGCAACTGGCAATATTCTGTTAACCAGCTCCTTGATGGACATGTCCAGCGTTGCATCAACTATAAAAGAACGGTTCTGCCTCCCCAGGACAGGCTGAGCAGTGATGTCTCGTCCGTCCACCCCAACCAGGACAAACAGCAGATCTTCAACCACAAACTGCTCCTGAGAGGGGAGGGGCAACGTGCCTGGCCACAAGAGGTAAAAAAATAAAATAAAATTACACAGGAATCAGCACAGTAACACACAAGTGACATAAATCAGTAGGACAGCCCGCTCCGTGTTACCGATGGTGACAGCTTGATCTGCAGGAGCAGGGCTGGTGATGAAGTCTCCGACGAGAGCGGGACGGTCATAGACCCAGTTAGGAAACACGGGGTTGGGCTGTGTGGGGTTCTTCTTGTTGTGTTTGTCTCTCAGCATCTTTCGTGTGACTTCAGCAGGCTACGGTCACAAAAAAATTAAACGCGATAAATTTTGCTGGACTACAAATTACAGCGATGTGGAGGATCTTCAGCACGATCTGAATTTTAAAAAGTCCGATTTTTTTTTCCTGACAAGTGATCAAATGAAATTAAACACTGCCAGGTTGTGCCCACAGCACAACTCTTCAGTATGAATGTTGAAACTGCAGGAAGAAGACTCAGAGTTAGCAACGAGGCGTTATAAAACTAAAGTCACATAAAGCACAGAGATGATAGAAGTTATTAAAAAATGAATCTGTATTTTTTGACGTCTATAAGCAGAGACATCACGTATGTGAGAGCAGTCCCTTTGAAAATATGGTTTTACTATCCTTTTAAGCGATTGCTTTTTCACTATATTGCAGTGATAATGAGCAGCAAATATGTCACGAGATGTCGTTAAAAAAAGTGTTGTTGTCATGGCAACCTGGTAGCTGTGACTGGAGTCAGCTCAGCGACTGGAACAAAACCACATTTTTGAGCTGCCAACCACTCAGGACCAAAGAAGATGAGAGTCATCTACCTCCAGTCACTAGACAATTTTATTTTTTTTAACTCACCAAAGGGGCGTTGGAGCTGGCCGTCACGTTGCCGAGCTTCTTCCGCAGTTCATCCAGCTCCTGCATGGAAATCTTTGTGCTTGTTTGAGGCAGAGTGTAACTGGTTGCAGTAGTTGGGTTTGAAGACTCTGACCTCTCTTTGGCATTTTGTTGTAGAGACTGAAGTGTCTAAAACATAAATACAGCAAAAGCAGGTGGAAAGGTTACTGAATCTCAAAAAATTCTATGTTGAGCTAGAAAAATGTTTCTATGAAATGTTTGACAAAAGAAAAATTAGAAAACAAGAAGAAGAAAAATAAAATCACTCCAAATATGCTGCACATTACCTCTTTATCCTCACAGAGTTTAGAGAGCAGATATACCAGAGGGTCAAGATTACGGACATTTTTGGACTTCAGCTCCTCGTATTTCCTCAGAAAGTCTTCAGGTGTTTTTGAGAACTCTGCTAATTTCACCTGAAAATTATACAACATAAATTTATAAACAAAATATTTCCCTGGCAACATATCTCCAGAGTTTCCCCAATGTATTACAAACCTGGCGGGTCACCAGGCTTTACTTGTGCACCCATCAGGGTAAGCATCACTTATTTATTTCAGTTTTTTTTTCTCAAATGTTTGCATTTTTTAAAGATTTTATAGTTGATGTTCAAATATTAATCTTCCAATCTTTCAATAACATCATTATCAAGTGATATTTACAAATTTCTTGTCAACTTTAAACATGTTTTAACTCAAAAACACAGCAGGCCGTTGCATGAATGACTGCGTGAGCGTCCCAACCACAGGGCTTAGCAAGTTTCCTGAGGGAAACCTTGTATCTCCTTTCATTAATGAATGCAAAATCATATTTTAACGCTCAGTAGAGTTGTGATACCGAAGTATACATCAAAATTTAGTTCTATTGAAAAATATATAAATATGTAACATTTTCACAAGTAAAAAAAAGTAACATCAACAAAAAAATGACCAGCAAGTAATAGATGGATGTAACAGAACAGAGGATGATTTTTGACCTCGTTTCTGTCCTCTTTATGTGTCTCGTATTTGTGTTGGTGTTGTGACCCACCTTGGCACTGTGAGCCGAGACTGTGGTGGTGACATAAGGAGTCCTGTGCTTCTGCAGCAGGTCGATGTATCCCTCCGCCCCATCCCCTCCTCGGACCTGCAGGAGGCTGAGCAGCTCGTTCACATCGTGGTGGATCCTAAATTCACTCATGATGGCTGTGGCAGCTGAAAGACATTTTATTCTGTTTAAGTGGAGAGGTTGGGACTAGCTAAGCTCTAATTCAGAAAAACATCTTCATCAGAGCTGCTGATTCAAATGGACAATAGTCTTAGCCACCTTATGCTAATATAACTTAATTCTAAACAATTTTAAAAGCTGTTTGTTCCACTTAATAACGACGACGCGCAGCTGCAGTTTACGTTTTCTGATGCTAAAAAGCTAACTAGCCTGCAAGATGTAGATGCTAAATAGTTGATAGCTTACCCAGTTAAGAAATAAAACAGTAAATACCAACATATAACAATATTACACCCTTTTTCTAAGCCGTAAAATATATATAGAAAAACTCTATGGTTAGTACAATACCTGTTGGTCGAATAAAATAGATTTCAACAGCAGAGACACCAAACGCGCCCACCACCACTCAAATTCTCCTTCGTTTAAAAACATTCCTATCACGGACTCAACACTGGCCTCTAGAGGTCAAAAACACACACTGCACGACTGTGCTCCTTTCTCTTGTTTTATCAAGTTCTGAAAATACAATAACCATTATAAGTGTTAATATTTGCAAATAGTAATAAGTTATTTGACTGATAGTTAGATAAGCTTTCATTGATAAAACAAAAATGTCAGTAGGCATTTGTGGAGTGCGCAATTAACAACTGTAATCTTTTTTAAATTACATTTCAAGCTTTTAATACTTCATATTTATTTATTTATTTATTTTGATTTGGTACAAATTTAGATGTAATATTTGCTCTATTTTCTAGTGGTGTTTAAGGGATTATTGCACAGAAAATGTTGATTCCAAACTCAACTGCAACAATATTCTGGTTATTTTTTTATACTTCTCTTTGTTTCCCCAGACAACTTGCCAGTAACATGCTGGCCTGTATTACTCTGAACAACCTTCTTCCTTTGCAGTTACTTTCTTACAATAACATACAGATTCAGAATTAAAAATAAGTTTTTATTGGTCTTAGTAACTTCAGTTGAATTATGTAGTGTTATTTTTATTGCACGTGTGTCTTTGCAAAGAAAACAAGAAAAATATCACTATACAGGGTAAGCAAAGGACGCTTTTATTTTGAAAAACCATGACACAGAGGAAGTAAACAGTAATCACGTTACAACCCGGAAGAATTGCCCTGCTCTGAATAACGTTTGAATAGCAGAGAATGACCACTGAATATGAGGAAGAACCGACTAACGATAGGACTGCAGAGATCTTCCAGTGTCTAGTGGTCATATTTGTGTCCTAATCTGCGGTCTGTAGGCGGAGGCGGCAACGCCCTGATGCCCTCGGAGAACAGTCCCCCCGCTCTGTTTACAACCAGTCGGCTGGGAGAAACTGGTTCCCCGCAGTGGGTCGTTAGCTAAACGGTTCTGCCGTGAGTGTTGTTTAGAAGGGGGGGGAGGGGGGGGGGAATGGCTGAACTGCACGTCGTGGAGCCGAGTGGAACAGCGACCATAGAGCAGCCCGAACATCGCGACGTTCGGGGCTCGATGCGTCTGGCGTCGCCCACTCTCTTGGTTCCTCCGCGGAGCAGCAGCCAGCTCAGCCCCGGCGGAGGAGGCAGCAGCGGGGGCAGCGGCAGGTCGCTGTTCGGCTTTCCGCTGAAGAGCAACCCAAGCTCGCCCTCTGAGCCGTTAGACAAGCCGGGCTCACGGTGGGTTCGGCTTAATGTTGGCGGGACCTACTTCATCACGACCAAACAGACATTATGTCGGGATCCAAAGTCTTTCTTATTCCGACTGTGTCAAGAAGATCCTGACCTGGATTCTGATAAAGTGAGTACACTTACAGATACTGCAAAGTGGTGTTTTCTACCTCTTCTACTAATAGATGTGCATTGATAATTAAAGTTAGGTGATGAAGTAATTACTCCACATGATTTACAAAATAATTTCTTTTATAAAACACTACAAATTATGCACTGCTAATTGTCTGTAGTATCTATGTGGGCTATGACATCACATGAGGTACAAGGATGGAGCTGGTCAGTCATATCAGGAAACATGGTGAACAGCGTTTGACAAATTTGGGTTAAGATTCTGAAGAATTTGAGTGTAAGGGGAGCTGGAGCTCGAGTCTGATGGACAGAAGGCTTCTTACTGTCAAGAAACCTGCACTTGTCTTTTGCTCCAAAAGCTTGTTTTGTGATTGGTCTGTGTTGGCCCCTCAAAAGCCTATTTCTTTGTGTTGTATGTTATGTTTCCCAGAACTTATGTTAATTTACTGAAAATGTGTCCAACCTATTCTTTAATTTCTTTCAATTCGCCTGAGCAACCTAAGTGGGACTCCTTGTTTATATTTAAGTCTTACGATGTTTTACATATTTGATTTATATGAACAATTGTACATGTTTTCATACAGGATTAGGATTACTTCTCACAGATTTGGTTGTAAACTGAAGGTTGCATACTACCCCAAAATGCATGCTGTATTTTGGTATTCATCACAGTGTATATTTATGCTCTTCCAGACGGAGTCATTTTATTTTCTTGATTGTTTGTTGTACAGCTGTGCCCATTAATTATGGCGGAAATAGCATCACAAAGCTGTTTGTAACCTGCTTCATTTTTCCATCTGCTATAGCTAACACTCAAAACAAATAAATGCTGCATTCCTCTTAAAACACCTTAAAATGACACAGTTTGTCTAGACAGAGGCACTGCTTCCAGTCCCTCTCGCATTACTATTGATTTTCCAAACAGCTTTTCTGTTCTTGATGATGGAGCAATAGGATGTTTTTCTTTATTCTTCTCTCTACCAGTATTATTGGTATTACTGGTCTTACATTTAGCCATGTCAGTGATGTAGGATAAGTTCATGTGTTGGGGTTAACTGGTAGATTTGGGCTAATTGAAAGTTTGTAATAATCCTGGAGCTCTTTAGAAAACCAAACCTTATGGTTTAAATGACATTACTTGAAATTGTTGCTAAAGAAAAAGAAATCTACCACTCCAGTCTATGCCGGTCCCCCTCTGAAGTGTTTGGTTGTTGCCAAATGTCAAAGTTCAAACATTTTTGGCCACAGTAATATGGTTAGCAAGTAAACAAAACAATGTTCTTTAAGTGCTTAAATATATTGGAGGGAAACAAATTGTCCACAGTTACTGCTGATGTGTCATTGTATGTATGAAATCCTGTTGGATCTATGGAAACTATGGCTTTAACAAAAGGATGGAAATGATCAGATGCCATGAAATTCCTTCCAGGACAGCTGAACTTTATCACTGGATGATCAGAATCACTATAATTGATGGCAGATGTGAGCTGAAGAAGACTGAATGCTTAAACAGAATCATGAGGTCCTCCAACAAAGCATCAGTTTAAAGTAGTCACCAAACAAAAATACCTTTTTGTCTCCTTGTTTAAAAAACTAACAAAAATGCATTTGTGCCATTAATCATCTTCAATTCCACACTGACGCCATGCACTCCATTGGTAAAGCTCGGGTTTTCCGTGCGGTACAGTCAGAGAAAGATGACAGATCACTGTTGCGTGATTAATTACAGGACGAGACCGGAGCCTACCTTATCGACAGGGACCCCACATACTTCGGCCCCATCCTGAATTACCTTCGACACGGAAAGCTGATCATGGATAAGAACCTGGCTGAGGAAGGTAATGCAGGACAGCATCTGACAGTGAACGCTGTGATCAGTTCCATCTGAAAATCTTGACTTAAAAGAGATAATAATCATTTAAATGCACCAATGTTTTAGGCGTTCTCGAAGAAGCCGAGTTCTACAACATCGCCTCCCTGGTGAGGTCGGTGAAAGAGCGAATACGGGACAATGAGAACCGAACATCTCAGGTAATGTGAGACCAAACGGGCTACGGAGCAGCTGAACTGATTCATTTGTTGTGGAGAAACAACTCCACAACAAATGATATGGAGTTGAATAATTGTGAGCTTGCTTAACAATTGTGAGCTTGCTTTCAGATGACTGATGTTTATTTGTGTGTGTGTGTGTGTGTGTGTGTTTGTGTGTGTGTGCGGCGTCCCTCAGGGCCCAGTGAAGCACGTGTATCGAGTTCTGCAGTGCCAAGAGGAGGAACTCACACAGATGGTCTCAACTATGTCAGACGGTTGGAAATTTGAGCAGGTGCAGATAAAGAAGCTTTGGCTTTGGGCTTCTATTTTAAAGCTATTGCTACATATTTTACATCAGATGCTGAAGCAAAATCTTTTAACTCCTACATTTCATGCTCAAAGGTAAATATGTAGCAGACATGCTGAACTTCAGGAACTTTAAACACAGGGATTTATCGGACATTGATGTCAATGATTAACTTCTTCGATTACTTTTAATATTTTTAAATAAAAAATGATATAAAAGTATTACAGTCGGGTTGTATTTTTTTACTTTTGTCTCCAGCTCATCAGCATTGGCTCCTCCTACAACTATGGGAACGAGGACCAGGCAGAGTTTCTGTGCGTCGTTTCCCGGGAACTCAACAACTCAACAAACGGCATCGTTATCGAGCCCACAGAGAAAGCCAAGGTGGGTGTTTATGAACTTTTAAGCAGGTAGCTGGACATGTGGATGATAAAAAACTGTTTTACCAATATTAAAATCATTTAACTTGTTGTAGGATTCACCTGCATGGATGCCTCGCCTTTAAAAAAATAACAAAGATTTAGAATAATCTCAAAACTCTCTTTCAATTCAACTTTTACTTCTGGCCCTCAGATCCTTCAAGAGCGAGGCTCCCGGATGTAAGGAGCCGGAGAGTCGGAGCGGAACTACATCATCATCAAAAACATGAGCGCACACTCCTGTTATCTTCGATCAGACAGCTGCCCCCTCCTCCAGCGTGCCTTTCCATAGCGGAGGCTCCCTGACGCCTCCTCGTCTTTAGCGTTGCAAGGCGACCCCGACTTCTCTCCTTGTTTCTTCTCCCGTTTTAAAGACACGACTTGTGAGGCGATTCTCCTCTTTGGCTGCGACAATGAAGTTTTGTTGATCTCACTGGATGGATCCACAGAATAAATCTTTTGCTTTAGCGGCTTTTATCAGATCTGGGATGTTCGCTGTGTGTCACAAATTTGGATCAATTCAGCAGAAACTCCTCAGGACCCCAGCATAAAAGAATTAAAGGGACTCCATTTTTTTTAAAACCCTGACTGCAAACGGAGCCTTGACGCAGCAGATTTCCTCGTTACTTCTAGAGACGGAGCAAAGTAGGCGCAGCATCTTCTCCGCTCATTAAAGGCTCACAGAGAAGAAGGAAGAGACCTTTTTTTTGTTCCCTGTGTGGCTCATTTCAATCTGTGAAAATTTGGAATATTTCCACACAAAAGAAAGCAGCTGACTCAAAACAGACCGTTACTCCAGTAGTGCACAAATGTGTCCAGGCATGTAAGGAATCTATATTAAAACCTATATAGTCGTCAAGATGAAAATATATGAAATTTTAAATGCAAATGGTGTAATTACTTACTTCTGTATCATAGCTGTCTTATATTTACATATTCTTGTGGGTGAGTTTATTTAAACAAGGGGGGAGAATATCAGTTTTGTTACCAGACTAAGCGCCCATTAGAGTGAGTTTGTGTGTGCAGTGCCTCTCTGCTTTCTGCCCATCACTGAAATTTCTGTAGTGTACCTGCAAAAAAAAAAAGGAAATAAACAAAAAAAGGTGTTTTACAGCTTATATATCCTACTTTGATCTATTGCATATCTAAAAATTGTAATTAGGGATGAAGAAACCTTTCGCTTGTTGCCGTCTGAACATAGAAGAGAGGCGAGGTTCGAATAGTGGCCAGTCTGTAGTCTGCCTCAACACATTCGCTGTATATTGTGTTTACTTCTCAGCCTTGCAGCCAAAAGTCGTCTCGAAGTCTGCAGCATGTGTAGCAACCGCGGCGCGAGCAAACTGTCCTGCTCGCACTTAAACCCTGAGCCTACATCGATGCAGGAACCTTGCAGTTTGTTAGAGAACCTCTCAGAGTAGAAGGGTTCTGACTCTTATTCTCTTCAAATCAAACGCTCCTTTTTTACCAGCTCTTTAGCTTTTTTTGTTTTGTTTTGTTTTGTTGCCAGCAACTTAAATGCAGCAGGTTTTCTTTTGAAATGCACAGCTAAACTTATTTAATTAGAATGTAGTTGAAAAGTTTATATATCGATTTTTTTCTACTAAGAGGGATGTATATCTAGTGTTGTATCTGCTCGGTCATTTTGATAAAAGTGACTTTTAGCCAAAGGAAACCTAGAAATTCAGCTTTTCAGAAAATTCAAATATTACATAAGACCACCAAAAATAGTACACAGTTGTTGGCTGATGTAATTGTGGTGAAGACTGATCACTTCAGAAGACGCTCGTCGACACTTTCTATGTTGAAATTAAGTCACAATGCTCATTGTTCGCAGAAAGCTGTAGCCAAGAACATTGATAGAAGGTTGATTGAAAGGAAAAATATCAGTATGCATTAATAATAAAAAAAAAGGTATCAGAAAAAAGCTTTACATATATTATTGATGCACAAGGAATCTAGTTAATGGGAGTTTTACTTTTTGGATTCTAATACCAGTGTATCAATTTAGTTGAGATAACTTAGAAATATAGTTTTATGATTCATACCAACCATTAGAACTGTTCTTTTTAACTGAAAGAAAATGCAGGAAACAACATTTTCTGATTATTTTTTTTCTCTTTTTGTTTTAAAATTTCCTGCTTGATGGATGACCATAACAAGTAGTTTGTCCTAAAACATTGGCCCGGTCCGCCTTGCTAAAAGGCATCAGAGTTTTTGGTTCTGTAACCTTGAGAAAAATAACCACAGTATCACTAAATGTGCAAACAAAAAAAGTAGAAGCAATCATGTATCAATAGTTCTAGTTGCTTTTATATTTTTAAAAAAGAAAAGTAATATTTATGTTTCCTGCCGCTAACATACTGACGTTGGTTATCATGATGTACAAAATGTATAACGTTTGATTTTAAAGCAAAAACTTGGGCTGAGTTAACAGTAGGTTTCAAGTAAAGTTGCAGAATATCAAACCTCCCTGATGTTCTGGTCAAGGGAAATGGCTGTTTTCAGCCAACTGAACATCATCAAACAGCAACAGGTGTGGGGGGGGGGGCGTGCTATACTCCTGACAGCTGGAGAAATATCTGCTTTCCTCTGCACTTTCTCTAGACTGTATAAAACGACATGGTGTAATATTTACATATGTTTGAAATTGTAACTTTTCAAAACCTCTGCATATCTTCACAATGGGAAACCCTGCTCCCTAAAACAGCATCACATTTTTTTTCTAACGCTTTTCAGCTTGTTACATTTTATTTTCATGTAGTACACTAAAAGCATATTCATATTTTAATTATTCTTAAAGCTGGAGGTTCCACTCTTTACATGCTAACGGATATATTTTTTAATACAGATCATCTATACTACTGCCATTCATCGCCTTTATGTTTCATCCTTAAGATAAACATATCGATGGCATTTAAATCAAGCATGAACAAAAGTGATGCATCTTGATGAGGGAAGAAAAACAACAATCGGTGTTTTCATGCTTACCGTTAAGTTGGGACTCGGAGCCCAAACTTTGAGGCAACGTTTTCTTTCCTTCTCTTTCTTCAGTGTGTGTGTTGTGAAGCTATATTCTACTAGCAGTAGTTATGAGCAGACAGCCTGCAGTTGAAAATACCCAAACATTTCATGAAGGAGTATTTGGTTTCTTACCTTGGCTGTTGCTTTCCTTCGTCTGTGTTCAGTGTTGTGCCTTTCACCAGTGTTGTGCTCAGTAGTACTCCCCTTTTATGAGAAGGTGCCTGTCATACCCTTAAAAAAAGTCAGGAGGTTTCTACCTAAAGTATAATGTGTGTAGTGTTTGTTTTTTTTTCTTTTAACCAAATGAAAATCATTCTGAATATAGGCATTATGGCTCTCTGGCCTGGGCGCCCTTCTACCAAGGGGCGGCACAAGCATAAAAAAAAAGTCAGTTGTGCCCCAAACAAGTTTTTTGTGTGCATCTGCCATCGACACTTAAGGACAGTTGCAAGTTTCATCAGAAAATGTGATGTTTTCATGCTTTTTTTGTCAAAAGGAAAATGTTAGCTTGAGACAAGCATAAAAACTGTATCATAAAGAATGGTTAAACCTGAACTGAATCATTCTGGCGTTTCAGAATGATTCAGCATATATGTAACTTCATATTTGCTTTGTGAAACCAGTTTGGGAAAACTGATAAAGTCCCACAAATGGCTAATGGCTTGGATCGTTTTAAGCTAGCACTGATTTTGAGCTCACCAACTTCCAGTTGCACTTTCCCCCTTTCTGGTACAAACATTTCTAATGATTAGTTGGAATTATTTTATATGAGAAGTCATTTAGTGGGTGCACTTACAACATTTGTTTTACAAAGAATTTCTCTTCTTCTGCTTGTATCTTAGTAAATTGTTAGCAGGGCACTTTTTAAAAGAAATCAATTTGACTGAGAACTTGAGATCCTTTTGCAGCTTATATTTTATTAAGTGGCATGCTAATGTCCCCATTTAATAATTCATATGTTTGTGATTAAAGTTAAAACTGTCCAATGTTCCTTTTAAAGTCCGAGATTGATCCAATCTCAAAAACTCAAAGGTTGAAAGCGATTTTACCTGGTTTGTGCTTGAAAGAAAATGTTAGCTTGTAAAATCAACTATCATTTTGATTAAAAGACATTTAACTCCATGTTTAGGAAGTTTTTAAAATGAAAGTGTTATCAGTATTAGACCTCAAAGAGATTTTTGTGAAAGATGCTAATTATAGCCTCCCAGAGTTAGCATGAGGGAAACCTTCTTTAAAATGATTTTTTTAATAAGCTGTCTTGGTAGTCAGTGTTAATTTAAGTTAATCAATTAAATTACTATTTAGAAAGCATATATTACTGTTTACTGTCAAAAGGTTGTCTCAGATAATGCTTATAAAACATTGCCGACAACGGTGATTATTTGAGCCAGTTGGGGTCAGTTGTGACTTTTTTTTTTTCTCAGCTGTGACTTTAAGATCTAGCTTGTGCAAATAAATGCATTCCCAAAGTCAGTCTGTTTAAGCAAATTGTATTAACGCTTTTTTAAAATAAGTAAAAATTCAGGAATCTTTGTGAACTGATCTTAGCAGTGCTAATGCTAATCATTGTTTCTCACATTCAGCCTGAACAAAAAACATTTCGTACAAATATTTTTAAAAGTTTTATCTGGCAATTTTAGTATTGAGGCAAATTGAATTTAAATGGCAAAAATATGTTGTCACCATACTACCTGGCATTTAGCACACAACCCTTTTTAAATGAAATTGATATTGGCATTTAGCTACTGCTAATCTTAGCTTCCAGCTAGTTATAGATATTCTTTGAGGTGGGATGATTTATCAGCTGTAGTTTTTGGTTGAAAGCAGTGATGATGCTGATCACAGCCACAGTTTATCTGGAAGGCTTTCATTATAAGCTTAAAGACACTATAAAAGTCTTAGATTAAAGTCAGATGCAACAAAGATTCGTCCTGTCGTATTAGGTTTTCTGCACAGCTTTATTTTATGGGATCAAATATGTTGGGAACCACTTACCTAACTAAACTTTGCCGTGTGATTCTCCTATAGAAACACGCTGTTAATGAGCAAAAGATTTGATCATCAATTAAAATATGAAATGTTGTACAGTACTGCCAAAAAAAAAAAAAGTATCTGGGTACATAAAAAGATGAGAGCATGTATTGTTTTAAGGATAATCTTATGTACTGAACTTTGACCTCTGTGTTTGCTCAAAGTTGATGTGAAGCATGATGGGGGCGAAGATGACGGCATGGCTCTGTGGTTTGTAAGTTGTATATTTCTGTGTGGAACAGTTGGTCAACAAATAGACGTATTTGTGGCTCATGGACGACATGGTTCTGTTATTTGTTGTTTTGTTTCTTTGTTTGTTTTGTGCCGTGTATGTAGTTTTGAACACATAAATTACCGGTAACCTGCCAGTCAGACTGGAAACCTTTCTGCAACAAGTTTTGGGTTAAGGAGTTGTTGTTTTTTTTTTGTTTGTTTTTTGCGACCTGCAGAAGACCGTGCAAAAAAATATATATACATATATAGAAACTGAAAATGTCTTGTGGATCAACTCACCAGTTAACCTGTAAGCACCTGCATGCATTTGTGGACATGCACATGCATATACTCATTTAGATGTATTAGAAATGTCACATATTGACTTACTTTGTGCTCATTTATCAACAGTATTGATGTCAAATGTGAATATTGTTAATGAAGACTGTGGAGAACATGTAACATTTAATTGTTTGTTTCACTTCAATTTATTTTATATTTTTTCAAATTTTGTCTACCAATGTTGTTACGTTACATGTAACAATTTTAACAAAGCCCTGTCTGGTTTGTAATCATAAAAAAATTATGTCTGTGTTTTAAAACATGGCTCACTGACTATTTATTGTTTCTGTTTGTCTAAAGAAAATACAAACTGGTGTCCTACTTTAATAATATACTTTATATTATATATCCAAATAGAAAGACAAGTTGATTAAACATTTGAGGAGAAAGATAACAGCGTCTGCATTTCTCTTGATAAGCTCAGACTTTCAGGTTGCGACTGAAAACCGACCACGTTGTGCTAGAAATAAACTAAATAAGTTCAGACATGCAAAAGAAACGTAGCACAAATTTTATTCTTCACAATATCTTCAAATTAAAAAATATATATCAGTTTTATCTCCAAAACAACATAGTTAATTCACTTTTAAAACGTTTCATTGGTGAAATCACGAATTTATCTGTCAACCTTTACTATCAATTTCAATTTATTAATAGACCGCAGCATTTTAAAAACAACACAAGTTGAACAAAATTATTTCCAAATCAGTCAGAGAACAGAAAAGCAGAGTAATAAATGCAAAGAAACTCGTTCTCGCCTGGGTGTCAGAATCTGCAGCGATTAATCACAAACTATGAACCTAAACATTTAGGAACCTAATTACAACAGTAATCAATCTCTTTATGTATATTAGTTCAAACTTGTGGTGTGAGGATGTCAGTGGGCATGGCTACTGCTCTTTTAAGAAATAATTGCCCTAAAGTTGACCTGCTCTGTGGATGAACTAATCAGACACTAAGGTCCAGTTTGCTGAATTTAAATTAATTACATTAAATTAAATGGTCACTAAAACAATAGTGCTCTCATCATGTTTTAAAACATAATAAAATTAACTTTCCAACATTTTTAGTTTCTAATTGCATTCTAGTAAGACACATATAAAACTTTATGATGTATGTATTATTATGTTGAGAGCGATTTGGCATTACCCTCATTCAGCCTCGACTGCACAATAGCAAACGGCCACCAGAGGTCGCCCAAAGCACATTTTTCAGAGTTTAATCGACATTGGGATAGTTTAAACAGTCCAACTTTTCATGATAACCTGTAGCTAATTCATTTTGCATGAGTATTTTCAGATTACTGGTTTAAGTTGAAGTTGAACCTAGGCTCCAGTCTCAAGTCTTTTGCCGCCGCTAACAGTTTTTCTTTCCCTGTATTTATCCTGACCATCTTCTGCGTCCCTGAACGTTTCACTTGCACATTGTTGGGATGATGTGCAGCGTTAATTCTGATGCAGGGCGAAAAGTTTCAGTTTTTCTCAACAGATTTGGACATATTGATACATTATTTGCTGGACGACTTTCTCTTGAAGTGTTCCCTCTTTGCTATAAAGTCCAGAACTGCGAGATTGTGAATTATGAGATTCCCTCACCTTTCAATTTTGCATTTGGTTTGTAGCCACACTGTCTTGTTTCTCTTTAAGATGTTGGATATTGCTTTACATCCTAGCCCAAATTTAAAATTCTTCACACAAATAATTTTTTGTTGGTTTCACATCCATACCCAAAAATATATTCTTCCTTTCTAGAATGAACATTTTGATAAATAGTCTTTAAAAGTCTGATTTGGTGAATCAAATTGAAACAAATTCTTCAGGCTCGGTGATTCAGTCCGCAACGTGTTGGTTAAAGCAGCAGCTGATTCTGTAGCTACTTCCCCTCTATGAATTGTACATTGTGTCCACCTTCCACTGTTTTTCATGCAGACCCTTATGGCAAGCTGTTGTCTCATTTAATCAAAACCAAGGAGAACTCGCAACACAGTAGATAGACTGACACAGATTGCACCAAGAAGAAAAATAACGTTAACAGTGTCAAGAGCTGGACCGAGGGAGAATCATCTATACCTAAGAGGCTAATAAATGCCAGGCAGGTGATTGGTGGATCCATGATCAGGTGGGTTTAATCAGCAAAATGCGAAGCAGGCAGCTAGTAGAGATTAAAGGCCTCAGGCACTGAGCTGATAAGGTTGAGGGTTGGTAGGACGTGCAGCATGACTGTCACTTCCTCACAGACAGGTATGTGTGGAGAAGAAACAGGGCTGGACATCAGACCCGGTCCAAGCTTCTTTTGGGGGGTCCCTACACTTTGTCAACACCAGATCTGCTTTAGTGCCAAGCTGCTCTGTGTGTGCAGCATGGTTGTTGTCATTAGCATCATTTGCAATTTGCTTACGTCATACCAGAAGAAGCAAACAAAAAAAGGTGCATTTCGCAATAATTTGAACTATTTGAAAGTTACACCAGCTGATAAACACAAAATTACAGTAAACATGTTTGATATATTTCACCAGCAGTGGCAGAAAGCAGGAAAAGCAGTAAGACATCCATTATTATTGTAACAGCAATGTAAACAATAAAGAAATTGTTATTCAGTGCATAACAGCATTTAGTTGCTATTATTCAGTCATTTGCCTATCTTTAAATTTTCCACGTTGAGCATTGCTAATGCTAAACAGAAGAAATACATCATAGAATAACTATTGTTGGTTTGATTGTTCAGCAGCATGATTGGGGCACCAACATCCCACTGACTGCAGATAATATTTTCTTCATATGATGACTGTGGCAAACGCCCATATGGTCCACATTAAAGGTTTGCAAAAACTGTTTTGCTGGTAACTTTTGGCTGTTAACGCTATTAAATGCTAACACCGCCTGCCACATCGGCTCAGGGGCGGCCTGCGGCGGGGCTTATCGAGGCCTGCTCACCGCTCACTCCCGTCGCCTCCGTGATCCGCATCTAGTCCCCGCCCACGCGGCGGACGCCGTGGCCGGTTACGAGTCAATATCAGCTCGGCGGCGTTTCCTCCGGCAGACAGCGAGGAGCAGCTGGAAAGGTGAGCAACTGCGTTTGTTTGAAATGTAATAACAATACGGAAGAGACGGCTCCTGGTGAAAGCCTCCTGTTTGCTGAGCTGATGTTGAAGCGCTTCATCCGTCCAGAGGGAAGCTTCACGGTGATGCGAGAAACGGCGAGATTTAGAAACATGTTTACATTTTCATCTGGTGGCGGTGGAGGCAGCGTGGTCTGAAAGTATTTGGGTCGGACCCCCGGGTTTTACACGCGTGACTTTTTAAGACGGAAACGAGGGAAAATAAAGACGAGTCGAGAGGGAGCCTTAAAAAGGCTGTTTGACGAGAGAGTTTAACAGCTGAGGCTTCATCCAGTGACAGTGAAGCGGCTCCTCCATCCTGTCAGGAAGGTCAGCTGCCCTCAAACTATTTCACCAGAGATTAATGCGATCCACGAGGATTGCTGGCAGGACGAGGAATAGTTCCTGGGGCAAATGAGTTTTTCTGCCACCCCACAGTAACCTCCCCCACGTCAACTGCACTCTTCTGCAGAAAAACAAGTCAACGTCATAAACCAAGATGTTGACGCATCACTGATCCTCTTCTTCCAAGTTGTTGTGCCAGACAAGCAGCATCTGCTGACAATCTGAGAAAATATGTTGCAAATTATTTGTAGATTAAATCCAAACAAATGAATGAAACATGTTCCAAAAATTACTGCTATTGAAGTTTTCATAGGCTGCAAGAGGCGTGTTTGTTCATTTAATATAATTAACCACTAATGCCATCCTATTGATTGACGTTACTCTATAAAACCTGAATGAACAGTTATAATTGTTTAACAGTATTTTAACTTTAATAATATTATCAGCAATAAGTTTAAGGGGTGGTTTTCTGTTTTTAAATTAACTCAATTACGACCAACAGCTTTGCTTTAATTTTTGTCTGAATAACATAAATGTGTGTTATCAATTTAACCTTGACAGTCCCACATTGGCCCATGCCTAAGTCACGGTTTTGCCCATCACAAAGTCTGTTTGAGAGCATGTGTCAACGCTGCAGCATTGAGGGACATGTGAAGTATTGGACCAGTTAACAACAACTCAGTGACTTTTTTTTTGCTATATTTAGTGACATTGCAGACAAAAAACAAAAAAAGGTTTTGGCCAAAATCAGTATTGGCAGGCCATCTGTTTTAACTAATTGGAAATAGTCCAGAAATATGAAATCAATGCACTCCTATTAAAAATTAGATAAAGATATTTGGAAAAATAGCGTAGTTAAAAAATACAAAATAAATAAATAATGAATCCCTGTTGTGTTTTTGTACACTTGAGTGAAGATGGTAAAGATCAGATAATCTGTATCATGTCCTCATAACACCTCAGGGTTGAAAGATTTGTTTTTGGGAATAGAGTCTCAGGAGATTTGCTCAGCAGTTGCAAGTGCTAATGGTGTTGAATGTCTTTGGACCAACTGCTGGGGGAAAGTTTTCACAGAAGGCCTTTCATTCAGTGGTTTTCACAAGCTCATGCTGGTGTCACGTTGGCTCGATTCCCTCTGAAGCTGAGCAGACCGGTTCCTCCGAAAATTTTTTAGGTTTTTGCTAAATGAATGGCTGCAGGCGTAAAGTTCTGGATGTCTGGTCATGTTTTATTATGAAATGCAGACAAATGGATATGCACAGGAAATGTGCTCAACAGGCTTCTCTCCCTGCAGGTTTTGATTGTGCAAAAATGACTAAATGAAGGACTAATTGAATTAATGAGGGAAGATCTTCTGTCCATTTTCCAGCTTTGGAGCTTTTTTTATTGGCTCTGTGAAAACCTCTGTAGAAAATTTGTAATGTTAGACGAGATCAAAGCTCCAAGTTGTTTTTTTTTTGTTTTTTTTTTTTGGTCAACTTGGTCACCTTGCAGCAACCTCACATAATCAACTGTCTTTTTACAAATACCACTCACTTTTCAGCTGAGATTAAATGAATTTCTATTTGTAGATGTTGTTTTTAATTATCTCAAAAAATAGTTTAAAAAAGTCTTCACAAAGAAAACTGTAAAGGCTGCCAACTATGAAGAAATTTATAAGGGTTTAAACCAAAGTAATATTATAAGACAAGACCTAAAAATAGGTTGTTTTGGCAGCTGCCTAACAAGGAAGTGCAGGTCCGCTTCATTATTTATAAGATAGGGCTGTGAAGGCGCGGCCTCCTCTGTGCTCCAGCCTGGTCCCAGTCATAACTAAAAGCAAACACTCTTATCTAACTGGCACGAAAAGCTGGAAAAAAATGCAAATGTAAGGGTTTTCTTTTTTTTCCTCTCAACAAACCCTGGTAAACACATGTAGATGTGTTGAATTTATTTATTTTGTCAGTGTTAAAATGGCAAATTAATGTGCGTCAGCATTGCAGGATTTTGTGTCTTTAACATAATAGAAGATTGCAAGATTTTTTTTTTGTTTCTGAAGTTATTAAAATTCTAAAACATCACATTCAACATGTCAGGGTATCCTAAATAATTTAAGAAGTCTGTTGAGTACATTTAAATGGGTTCAATGAGATTTGTTTTGTATGATATTAGTGCAGATCTTCAACTTGCAGTGCTGATTCGATGCCAATGTGTATTTATATATTAAAACTTGGACGTGAACAGATCGGTGCGGAGGAAAGTACTCTGGTCAGATGAAACCGGGGTTAATTTTAGGACATGTTCAATGATCTGTGTGGAACACATAACAACTACACCCACATATTGAAACATGGTGGTGGCAGCATCATGCTGTGAGGAAACGTTCCTTCAGCAGGTGCAGGGAAGCTGGTCAGAGCCTAAGCTGATCTGAGCTAATCTGCTAAGAAGAGTAGATAAAAAATAAAAGGGATTGAAGTGTGTGCACTCTGACGTTGCTCCTCATGTGATTGTGATCCCAGGTCTCCTGAAAGGACCCAGTGGTTGCAGTGACATGGGCAGCCAACGTTCCTTCACACCCTGCAGAGCTAACACCAGAGTCCCGCCTCAAGAGCCGAGCAGAAAATGACTCAGCGGAATGGAATCAGGGGCTCGAGTGATCCCAGTCTCCACTCGGAGACCTCCAAGGCCTTCGACCTGGCCAACGGTTTGGACCAGGATGAGGGGCAGGAAGCGGCTACTGACTGTGAGCGAGGGCGGGGGAGTGAAAGCGGAGACCCCGTCGCTATAACGGGAGGAGCTGTCACCGCTCCGGATGGCGGCTGGGGCTGGGCAGTGCTGGTTGCAACCATCCTGGTCCTGGCTATGACCCTGGGCTTCCCCTCCTGCGTGGGGATCTTCTACACAGACCTGCAGAACGAGTTCCACGCCTCCAACAGCGAAACGTCCTGGGTGCCGTCCATCATGACGTCGGCGCTTCACGCAGGAGGTAAACCGGCTTAGTCATGGTTGTCTTTAAAGGTCAAAGGTGGAACATATGAACTGGACAATAAATTAATAATATATGCTGCAATAGTGATCAATATCAATAAATAATACGCCCGATTTAACATCCAATAATTTGACTGGACCGTGCAGCATTCTGGGGGATGCAGGCAGAGGAAAGACTTTAGCCACTCAGTCTCTTCATGCTCATAACTTCTTAAAAATACAAAAAAGAACATGCCACCAGCATTTTAGATATTTAACACAAAGTAAGTTTTCTCTCAGTAGTTTGTGGCGTTGTTGTGATGACGATAAAAGGGACGATTACTTATTTTTCCCGTCTGTTTTAGGTAACTGTATATCTGTGATTGCTCTTGAAGAAGACTCCCTTTGTCTTCTTCAGGACACCAGTCGCACAAAGAAGTCTGTCACTACTATAGACACAATAACATACATTTTTTGATATTTCTTAATGCTCTCATTAAACAAACAGCTGAGAAAATGGCTAACAATCCCAACAATATGGACGGTTTTGGGGCTTTTAAACATTCTTTGGAGTTCTTCATGCCTACAATAATAGTAATATAACAATGTTGACATTAATATGACTGCGGTTGCAGTTATATTAACATCCACAAATGTAATATCCTTAGAAGTTGGCCTTTTATACACTACAGAGGGTGGGATAGATGCTTGTATTGTTCAGGGAAACATGTGAAAGGTGAGAGTAGGAATTTGCAAGTCTTGCTGTGTTTGTGTTGGTTTAGATGAGATTATTTCATGAGAAACCGTGGCAGGCTTATTTCCCAAAACCAAAACTGACCGTTTTAGTTTTCACAGGCTCCTGCGTTTTGCTCCATCCATCTATTCCCTTCTCTTTACTTGCTTAAATATGTTCAGGCACCCAGACAGGCTGAAGCCTGCATGTGGTTCCAGTAACGTACATCCACTCATCCTTGGCAAGAGTTTCATACCAGTTTCAGGGATTAATGATTCATTTAAGGAATTCTTTTTCAGGGAATATACAACAAGAAACTGCAATACATTTTGGAATCGATGAGAATGTTTGAATTAATCGTGAATTGTTGAGACAAAAAATGAGCTTGAATCCTCAACTTTATTTGGTTTAAGATTCATTTTGAACATAGCAGAGAAACCAGTTATTTTTTGCAGCTACAAATTAACTTCTGACTTTGAAAGATGTCATTCTGAAAAATTGAGTTGTTTCAAATTGGTGTTTTCCTCTCACCAGACATTTAAGCTCAGTCCATACATTTTCAACAGGGTTTTCATCTGGACTATTCCACAAGCTTAATGTTGGCTAATCTGATCTATTCCAAAATCAGTTTGGGATCTTCGTCCAGCTGGAACATGTTCACGTTTCTACCATTTATTTGGAGATTTGAGGTGCAGTTGGAGGTAGTTCTCCTAGTCGTATATTATCCATCTGTAACAGGAACAGTAAAACGAACCCTCAGCCACTAACCTGGCCTGGGACTGTTTGAAGCCACCAATATTTGAGCATATTTTTATTTCTGTGAGTTGCAGTAGGGCAAAAATTTGTTATTAAAGCCTCTTTACTGATAAAATGGGCTCGGTGAAACGTATGCAGTGACAGAGATCAGGCTTCAAATGCAAAGTGAAGACAGAGCCACTAAGCTCTGTCCTCACCATTAATGGTGCTAAAACTGACCATTTTAGTTTTAGCACCATTAAAACTAAAACCATTAAACAATGAATGGTGCTAAAACCATTCATGGTTTAGCACCATTCATAAGCTAAACAATGAATGGTGCCACTAAATATCTTATTTTGAGACGGTATGTTGTTTTGTAATAGTTTTAAAAAAAATTTTTGCGGTCCTCCACCAGGATTTGTTGACGACTAAGAGAACGATCTGTGCAGCCAGTAATGTTTTTTTTTTTTTAATCAGACTTTTATTTAAGCTCAGTGTAACACATTAAACAGGGTGGGTCGGATGTGTGGACAAAGGTATCTAAAGTCAACACGCAGTGAGTTTTAAACACACCTCTTCAAATACCAGGTTTTCGGCCAAAAGCAAAAGTGGTATTTTGTCACCAAATACCAGTTTTTATTGTCCGATCTATAATGTTATCATTAGCATTATGGACACTTTTCTTTAAATGTTTTTATCCACCTTCAAATATGATGTATATCCTGGACAATTACATATGAAAATCAATCAAATTTGTTGGGAGGAAGAATGTAAAATCCCCTGTTCCCTTGGGACAAAAGTGAAATGACATGCTAATGGAAAAGTTCAGGTTTATTTATACCAAGCAGCCACCATGCATTTTAAGCATGTCATTACTTTTTTTCTTAGTTGTTTTGCTGGATTTTATTTGTCAAGCATACCATAGCTACTGTATCCAATTAGCTGTGGCTCAGCAGAGTAACTTTTCTTGGAAAACTGTGCACGGCATTTTGATTTAGCTGACCTGCTCTCGCTAAACTGAGCCGGCCAGTTTCCAAGTCTGCGAGTTATTTGGAAACAGTTATTGCTTACATCAGAGACACATGGGTTAAAACATTCACATGCATGCAGCTACATAAGTAGATGGAAAAGTGGAGTAGAAATTACAACTTCTTTAGACTTATAAGAGGATATAGCAACACATTCTGAAAGAAGCATCTATTTGGAACCACTTCAGTTAATATAATCGAATATATTTGGCCGTCTGACTTGTCTGCACAGGTTGATTTTGTTGAACAGGAAGCCTTTTGATTCAGTTAATGTGTAAACGGAAAGTTATTGACGATGGGTAAAATTTGAAGTTTCTCACACGTTTCTCAACCCCCCCTCCCCCTCTGCTGTTGATGACGCAAATTCCCGAGAACAGCGTGAAGACCAGCACGCTTTTCTGTGTATTGATCTCATTTATGAACCTCTTCACGTCACGGTGTGAACTTCCTCTTTCCTACTCTGTTCATGTCAGATGGGCTTGGGTTTGGTGCCTAAGCTTTGTGGATCCACCGCAGACCAAATCTAATTGAAATCATATCGTTGCTGTTCAGCTGTTTGATCAAATCGGGTTCGGGAAGCTCTGGAACTGCAGCACTGAATGTTAGGTTTTCACGCAGTTTTAATGGATTTTAGGGGCAGGAATGCTTTGAGCTTTGAAACGCTCTTAATCCCAGAAAAATGGCATAAGAAGGTTTATCTTCATTAAGCTGTACCAGGCTGCCACTTCCTTTCCAGTTTTATAAGTCGAAGGATCTACAGATGTCAGTGTTCAGACTGTGGACATTAAATGCTAAAAAGAGCTTATAATTGTGGTGTTGTGAGGCTTGTTTTTTCTGCAGTTGGCTCAACAAGGTCAAACACTGTCACTGGAAATATGTAGCAGCCTGTAGCTCAGAAACAAAGTTGCGCAGTGTTAAACTTGATACTCCACCGTCTGACATTTAACTAAGGGGATCTCTGTATTTAATACTCAGGCTTTCAGATTCACAGTGTGAAGCTTCCCTCTCATAAATCATCTATGAGCTGCAGTTAAAGACACACAGCACACTAAAGAGCAGAGAAACTTTTCTGTACATTTTTTGAACGTGACGTAAAATGTCTCACAGCCTAACAGTTTTACAGCTTTACAAATTCAACATGATGATTGTAAATACAAGAAAGCAAACACTTCATTTTTTTTTTTTAGATCATTCCTCCTCTCAGATTGCAGCTGAGCAGGTTATGTGAAGTAGGCAGGATTTGGAAAGCAGCCTCTGCCTGTACAAGTGTGCATTGCACCAAGAGCATTTCCTGTGATCCGCAGGTCCGTTCTGCAGCGTGCTGGTGGGGAAGCTCGGCTGCAGGGCCACCGTCATGCTGGGCGGGGTGCTGAGTGGGCTCGGAATGGCCGCCAGCTCGTTTACCAACTCCATCGCCGAGCTTTACGTCACCGCTGGAGTAATTACAGGTCAGCAAAGTGATCTATACTGATGACACGAGGTTAAAGGTGAAACGATTACTCCAATTAATTTGTCATTGAAATAATTCACTAATTTAGTAATTGAAGTACAGAAACTCTTTAAAAAAAGCAATTTGCTGAAAAAACAAACAAGAAAACAACACAATCGGATCATTAATTTGGCCAAAAGTGAACAAAATACAGAAATATTTTGAATAAAAGGTAAAAAAATAAAATAAATCCTTTTGTCTGTAGTTATGTTCTACCCAGAACTCAAGTGGGAAGTTTTAGCTTCATTTGGTTCAAATTCAGTTACAAAAAAAACTTGTATAAAGCACATTTTGCTTTTGAATTAATAATAAATCTAAAAGAATATTCAACAGATTTGCCCTACATGGTAGTGGGGTCGAGCAGAAAGGACCGAGCTTTTTAAATGTTGATGTTAGAAGGACTTTTACAAGCGTTGAAGCAGATTAGATGCATCCTTTACTACAAATAATCATGCATGCACTAAATGATTTCTGTTACTGCATTGAAGGCAAGAAGATGTTTGTTTTCTTATCTAAAAAGGAAATTTTTTTTATATATGCTTATATTTTAACATATTTCTATTGTATGAAAATGGAGGTTAAATAATAAAATGTTCAGATTTTTTAATCCAATTAATCATCAGAATAATCAACAGATTGCTGAAATAATCGTTAGTTGCAGCTCTAGTTGAGATCTTCTGGCAGATGCTCTGAGGATTTATTATTGAGAGACGATAAACTCTCACTCACACAGTGTGACATCGCCTCTGCTTCTGATATTGATGATTTCAGGTTTCTAAAAATGTGTGAAAATCAAAGCTTTACAAAGAACAGATATTGAGAATTAGCCATTTAATTCTGATCGGTGCATTGCTACAGCAGAAGATCTCAAGTCTTTCATTTTTATTTCTCATTTATTAAAAACAGCATCTCGTCTGTTTCAGGACTCGGCTTCTGCTTCAGTTTCCAGCCGGCTGTCACCATCCTGGGCCACTACTTTGTGCGTCGGCGTGCGTTTGCCAACGCCATGTCCTCCACGGGAACGGCCCTGGGACTCTGCACTCTGCCTTTCCTGGGAAACTACCTCCACTCAGAGTTCGGCTGGAGGGGAAGCTTTCTCATCCTGGGGGCCGTCCTGCTGAACTGCTGCGCGTGCGGCGCTGTGATGCGGCCCCTGCAGCCCAAAAAGCATCGCGGCCAGCCGCTGATGGACCGCACACCTCCTCCGTCAGAAAAGCAGACGAAGCGGGAATCGAGGCTCAGGACCGCCTGGAGGTTTTTGGTGGCCTCCGTCAAAGAACACATGGCCTTCGATCAGTTCCTCCACAACCGGCATTACCGTGTGTTTGCCATAGGCATCACCTTAATGATGCTGGGCTTCGTGGTGCCGCTGGTGTATCTGGTTCCGTACGCCACGGCCCACGGCATGGAGCCGAGCCGGGCCGCGCTGCTGCTCTCCATCCTGGGTATCGTTAACATTGTGGTGCGGCCGCCGTTCGCCATCATGTTCAACATGCCCTGGTTCAAAGGGCGCCATGTTTATGTGTTTGCCTCCGCCTTGCTCTTCAACGGGCTCAGTGACTGCATCTGCTGCATCGGGGCCGGCTTCCCCGTGCTGGTGGCGTACGTGGTCACGTACGGACTTTCGATGAGCGTGGTCGGGTCGCTGATGTTCACCGTCCTGATGGATATAGTGGAGATGAGGCGCTTTCCGTCGGCGCTGGGGCTGCTCGCCGTCATGGAGAGCGTCACGCTGCTTATTGGACCTCCGCTGGCAGGTAACGCACAAAATATCGTAAAATGATAACTGCAGTTCACAAAGTAAAGACTGAGAGTGTCCTGATCAGATATTGGAAATCAGTCGGATAACATCCGGAAAAGTATTGGATCATATCGGCCTCCATCTAAAATTTCAGTATTTAGTCCGTCCCAGCGTTTCTATCCACTGTTGTTGACTATTGCTCTCTGAGTAATATCACTTGATCAAGCCTTTTCTAACATTTTGCACCACAACATGAGTAAAAATATGGGTAATTTGTGCTGACATCATATTTGGTTCTTATTGGTGTCTGCCAGAACTCAAAGCTTCATCGTATCGAACCTTTTGCAACATGTCATCTGTTTTTCCAAATAAGTCGAAATGCTGACAAGTGTTGGTGGAAAAAATTTGTTTGCAGAAGTCTTGTGGTTGAGTTGTAACTTTGCAAACCTAAAAGTCATGCTGACTTATCCTTTCTAGACCTGCAACAGTCACATTTGATGATTATCAATTAATAATTGCACATGATCAGCAAAATCTTCTCAGTTTCTTCAGAAATGGTAAGAAGTAAATTTGTTTCCACCTTCAATTGGTGCATTTTTGCTTAGTTTTCGGTAGATAAATTGTGGCATGGTGTAACTGTGAAACAGTCTTTTTGTTTATGGTGAAAACATTTGAATGGAAAATGGCTGAACTGGTACTTATGAAAGTGGATGATGGCTTACTGTTACATCAAAATATTTTATTTTCTCATCTGTGTCTCCAGTTTCTGTTTTGCTCTTGTTGGTTCCAGTAAATTTGTGAGGATCGTTTATTCAGCTCTTCTTGCAAGTTGAACAAACTCCAGTTTTCTATATTTGAATACAAATAATCAACAAAATAATACAGTATTTTAATACAATGTCACAATGACTTGTCCTCAGGAAGAACTTCTCATGTTTGCTCTAAAGGGTGATGGGCAGACTGCAGTTTGTTTTCAGTCAATAAGGCGTGTTAAGACAGAGTTAGGGACCTGACATATGCTACATTACATTGTGAGTAGCAGCAGAGGGGGAAAAGATCGTAAGGTTCCTGTCGCTCAGGGCTCAGATTACAGTTAGCAGGCTGCTATTTAGATGATCTATGACGCAACCTCAGCAACAAGTCGGGATCGGTTTATGCCAGCTGTACACGCGAGTTGCTTCACAGTCATGAGTCGACAATGACAGGTTAGAAAATGATTGTATTTCTAGGAAACGTTCATATAAAAGATGTAACTTTCAAAAAAATGATTCAGTCACAATTGAGTGGTTTCTACAATTAAATTTAATTCTTCATTTAAAATAAATAATTGAGTTGTCAGCCTAAATGATGTGCATTTTTGTAAACACCAGTTTTTCAGGCTTTTAAAGTGAAAATGTTTTTTTTATTTTTCCTTCAGCCAAAATTTAAAAAATATCAAAAAGAACTAATTCTAGTCTATAACTTTACTGCTGGATATATTATTATTATTGTTTTCAGTTTCATTCTTTTTCTGTTTATATTTTTGAAGATGAATTTAATTTGTGGCACAATCTCATAATAATCACTAAATATTCATTATGCACATGCTGTGCAGCCTGACCTCATGTCGTTCATTACCGCTTTCTGCATAAAGTAGCTGCACTTTCTGATAGACATCTTTTCGTTTCCGGTAAACTTTCTTTTCCAAACAGGAAAATGCTTAATGTTGCCACCAGCTTGGGAAATCACTCTGGATAAACACAGCATTAGGTTTGAGGTTGTGTATAAAGTAGAAATTAATCCTAATCATGAACACTGAAACTCCAAGATGCTTAAATAGCATTCTGTAAATATGGATAAGTAATTATCAAACATTTACTAATGTAGATGCCGGTGCCAAATGTTTGTGAACCTGAGTTTGTGTGTGTCTATTGCTCAGGAACAAAATGCAAATGTAGTTCAGAGTAAATGGCGTCCCACTTCGTCTGCACAGTTTACCCAGATTTAAATGAGCTGCAATGCATGACTTCAGGGAAAACGTGCTTCTGCATGTTTGTGTAAATCAGAATATTGCTTTTCAGCAAATTACATCAGATTCTCAAAGACTAGTGCTGCTTGTGTCAGACAGATCACATGGGGGAAAAACTGGTGGTAATTTTGGCCTTGACACAAAAAAAATCTGCCAGAGGATGAACCTTGTCTTCTAGTGTTGTCTGCCTGATATCCTTTACCCAATTTCTCCAATAAAAGTTCATAAAAGTTGTTGAAAATCCTTTAGTTGCCATTTAAAAGCAGAAAACAAATCTGTGAGATTTGGAATATTCCAACAGATGTTTTATATGCAGAGGCTAAACATGGAGCTTAGACTGACTCTAAAGGTTTTGGTTTATTGCACAAGTTATGGGAGGTGGAATGACGAACATTTGTCTCTCTGGGTGATTGGTGTTGAGATAAGAGACTGTGGAGGAGGAGACGGGCAGACGGAGCAGCCAGGAAGCACCGCTTGAACAAAAACATACAGTATTTTTAAATGAATCAATCTTAAATTGTATACCTTTTTTTTAAATTTTTTTATGCAATATTAGAAATGCATTAAAAGTTACAAATAAACAAATGATTCAGTTCCTTTTTTAAAATATGAAACATTTGTTTGCAAGTCCAGATTTCTGATGCACAGCAGAAATCAATAGATTGTAAGGCTGATCTGTAGGCTATTTTCTGGATTAGCAGGTTAATTATTTAGGAAAAGGTGCGTTAAAGAGGTCTAATTATGTCTAAGTTTTTACAGAATTTGAACCTGATGAACCCACAAATTTACAGTTTTTTTTTTTTTTTTTTTTACCTCAAATTCAATTATTTTGTACAGTTTTGGCTTTGTTACTGCTCTGAGTATGGTATTTGGCAAATGGCATTTTACCGTGTGTACTCCATTTAAAAATAGTTTAATTAATTCAATAATCATTTAGTCACAATTATTTTAGCACTCCAAGAAAGGAAAGCTTAAAGCCACTGCTTATGGCAAGTGTTTGGCATCTTGCAGTTAGCAGTTCTGCAGCAACTTGTAGCGTTAAAATACTTACTGTCACTGTTTCCTTTGCTACAGGGATCCTGGTGGACCGCACGCAACAATATTTCTACGTCTTTATCGCTTGCAGTGCCGTTGTTGCCTCCTCCGGTCTCTTCCTGATGCTGTCTTTCCTCTGGCTGGACAAAAAGGACAGGAAGGCGTCGCAGCAGGGTCGGCTCTCTGCTCAGCCCGAAGCGGAGAAACCTGCGGCCGACGCCTCTCCTGTCTGCGAGTACAGTGACCAGCCCTAGCAGGGAGACGGGGCCTCAGCCTGGGGACGGGGCCTCAGCCTGGGGACGGAGCCTCAGCCTGGGGAGGGAGTCTCAGCCTGGGGACGGGGCCTCAGCCTGGGGACGGGGCCTCAGCCTGGGGACGGAGCCTCAGCCTGGGGACGGAGCCTCAGCCTGGGGACGGAGCCTCAGCCTGGGGACGGGGCCTCAGCCTGGGGACGGAGTCTCAGCCTGGGGACGGAGTCTCAGCCTGGGGACGGAGCGTATCACCAGCCTGGGAACCTGCTGCCACTGTGTCCATGTCGCCATTCAGAGCTCTGACAGTTTGGCAGATTATTCCTGATACTTGGAGCAGCCTGCCAGTAAAATACTTGGAATAACTTTCACTAGCTGCGTTTCCATTGACCGTATAATCGCACAATTCGGAATTACAAAAGGAAATTTGCTTTAGAAGCTCACATTTTTGGTTAAAAAGTTTTTGTACTAGGATGAAGTTGTTTCAGCCGTATCAAAATTATTGTATTTTGAAAAAGTGAAAAGAAAACCTTGTTTTCGCATCATGTGATCAAGCAGCATATGTTATTACTGGCAGAATAGATGAAGACAACAGGAAGCGGTAGCATGATGATGCCACAGCATGTTTTTTTTTTTTGTTTTTTTATGATTTATGAGGTGAACAAATTTATTCACGTGAACTTCGTTGCGTTTCTTACTTAACGGAAACACCGCAGTTGTGAAATTGTTTTTTCAACAAAGTTTTGTGCACGTTTGTAATGGAAACGCAGCTAGTTGGGTTAAAGTTGCATACCAAAATGAACAAATGTGCACTTACAACATGAATGTGATTGTACTGTTTATTGTAAAATGCTGCTGGTCTTATCCACGCCATCTGTATCACTAGACTATTAATCATGCCGGGACGTTTATAAGAAAAGAAAATGCACACTAATTCTGAATCTTTGCTGGATTTATCGCTATTTTAGTCTTTGAGTGTGCAAAGGAGTGTAGGGTGAAGATCAACTGAGGTAGGAACGGATCACTCCCGATTACCCGTCTGTTTACTATTAACCAAATATCCAAAGACCAAACTCAGATGACCCCAGAAGAGCATTCTTGAACTATTCACTCCTTCTGCATTAAGATTTAAACACATTAAATTAAAAAAAGTTCAGTGTGTTGCCATGTTTGCGTGAACAATAAATTCAATTCAAAGGTGTTCACTGGACCTGAAGCACAACAGAAGAAAAAAAGCAACTAGTTAGGAAATGCACTAAAACAACTGTAACCTTCTGCACCTTGAATTTATGTCATGTAGCATAAATAAATGATTTCTTTGTCATAATCAAACTAATTGTTAAACTTTCAACTCTGGCTGTCTGACAGAGGATTTGTTTTTTGGCATTTATGTAACCACATATAACACTTCCACTGTGTTTTACCGTTTGTGTTGGGTTGTTCTCTGGAAAAGGTGCCTTTGTTCTGCACAATCTGCTTTTTTCCATCAGGTCCAGAGATCTCTCTGTATGTGATGTGCATGACCAGCCAACTGTAACCCAAATGTTTGGCTTATAAAACAAGAATGTCTTAGGAAACCACCAGACCGAATGTCTTGACTGAAACTTAGATTTGCATCTGTGCTTTATCTTGCTTCATCTCCTAAATTTCAAAAATAAGTTGCTGCAACTGAGTGACCCACCTTGTGAAGCTTTATGGTAATTCTGTCTGGATTTTGACTCACCTTCTTGGCAGAATCAAAAATTTATTTTTAATTGTTTTGTTTCTTATCACTGGCTTTGAGGAGGATCAGAACCGCAGTAATTTATTCAGAATCCAGTTCTGATGGGAAATTGGGATCTTTGGAAAACCAAGCTGAACTGGAGACCATGGACACCAGTATCTCAGGTGCAAAGTGGCTCAGCAGCATAATGCTGCCACCACCATGCTTAACAATTTATCATTTTAAGATTTGAAAGTCCCACCTTGACTCATCCAATCATACTGAGGTCAAATTTGTCTCGTTTATGTCTCAATTATGTTTTATCTTTTTGAATATCCTGTCATTTTCAGTTAAACTGTGTCAAAGCCTGAAGGAACAAGTCAAATTAATCCAGGTTTATATTAACTATCAGTCTTATGAGACTCATAAATCTATTGATTAAAGAGCCTGACTCCAAAGCTTACATGCTTAATGATTTCTCTAAGAATAAAGTGCTAAAATGGAGCAGATCCATAAGTATATGGATCTACAGTACACTATTACTGTATAGTGATGAGATTATCACACTGCCACTTTAAGGCCAATGGGTCTGCAATACATACCAATTCAGACAATGTCAAAAGTAAAAGCAACTAAAATTAGATAAAATTTCAAAACTGGATAACTTGCAAAAGCCTGAATTGACCTGATGCTTATATTCTTAATATATGTCTGCTAGAATATTATTTCAGTAATTTGGTTTAAAACCTGAATCTCTGCTGTTAAGAAAACCCAGGTTACTTTTAAAAACTGCTTTCAACTCCTGTGCATTTTTGCTCCTGGTTCTCCTTGACCAGGGGAAGCTCCATCTGCTCCCTGTTCTGCAGGAGTGTCTTGTAGCTCATGTCTCAGATATGTTCCATTTTTATATTAGTTTTCCTTCCACTCAACTTTCCATTGATGGGCTTTGATACAGCACTGAATAGCTGGCAATTTTAGCATTGCTCTTTTTTTGTAGCGTGAGTTGATGACTCTGCTAGGCACAAAGCGCACAGCCATTCTCTCAATTATGTAAACCTGAATTCAGGGAGGTATTATGTGATTCAGTGAAATAAATTGATGCTAATGTAACTTATTGAGATGCAACTGTATTTGGGTACAGGGACATATTTTGATTTGTAGCTTAACTCTAGTATTTTAATCAAATAAAAATTGTGTGAATCAGCGTCACTTTAAAGTGTCTAGCAGTTTGAGCAGGGTTTGTTTTGGACTTTTTAAACGCATCGAGGTTAACGTTTTCCAATAGCTTCAAGTATAATCTATTTTAAACCGCTGAAGGTGTCAGAAAATCAAAAATTTATTGTTTTAATGGAAAACAAGTCATGTTTGTTGCTCTCACCCGGTCATGGAACAGTGCCTTTTTACGTAGCTGGTTTGTTAGGTAAACTTCTCCCTTTTCACAGATGATGCCTTGTGTTTCACAGTTTCCACTGAACCAAACCTTGTGGTGAAAAAACGAAAGCAGCTCCAACATGGCGGTGTATCTTTTCAACAATTCGATGTTTCAGTTAACAGTCACTTCGTCCATTTAAGTTCAGAGCTAATAAAGTGAGCGAGAAACTGTTGAGCATTTAAGAAATATTTCAGGTATCCAATGTGTCGTAGTAATAAACTGTTTAACCCGAAGGTTTATTACTTGTCAGAGGATTTGTTAGCACATTTTGGAGACTTGTCTTGCTGTTTACCAAATTGTATCTTTAGAAATTCTTTATTTATACATTATGATGTAAGAGAGTAATAAATAGTTGAATTTTGATTTTATCTTGTGTGAGTTTTTATGTGTATTTCATTCTTCAATTTAGACAACAAAACGATGAAAGTCTCCCGTTACTGGATAGACTATAAGCTCTAGTTTATTTTTTTTTAATGCATTTTCAACTAAGCCGGAGGGAGTGGATCATCTAAGCTTACAGGCTGGTTGGAGAGCATTAAAAACATAAGCAGCAAAGACGTTGATGGTAACTCTGGAGGAGCTACAAAGATTCTCGGCTCAGCTGGGAGAATCAGTTAAATTGAGTTATCTATTGTGCAATCCATAAGTAAAAAGTAGAAATCTTAAGATATTCCACTTAATGTTTGCAACAGTCAAACATTTTCACTCAAAAAGTGTTTCATGAAAAGAGTAGTCGAGGACAATAACTGATTCAATCGGTTGCTTAGTAAAATCTGATTCAATATTGACAATATAAAGAAATGTGCAAATTCAGGCTAATATGTAGAAATGTGTTAACAAAATACATTTTGAGCAGAATAAAAACTTCCAAATTATTTTTTTAATATGAAACTTATCTACCAATGCTTACATTAATTTGTGTTTGAAAAGGGCAAAGTAATTACAATGACAATATATGGTATTTATAGTATATTCAATTGATCTCCACAACAGACAGAAAATCACATTTAACAGAACAAAACTTGTACACAAGTAAGGTGTGTATGAGACGCAGTGTCTGTGTCTCATACATTTTGATTAAAACATGTTAGTCCTTTTTCAGAGAAGTTACACACAGACAAGCATGCAACGTCCAGAAACTTCATAGCAAAACTTTGCAATATTACTCAAGTAGAAGTAAAAATAGTTGTGTCTAAATATACAAATCTGGAAGAGACATACTCCAGAGGAGTTGCAGCTTGGCTGAAAGGTGGTTCGATCGTAATTCAATTTAATATTTGTAAATTGTCGGGAAAGCGCTGCACAGTGTGTAATATATTCTTCTTGGTATATTGTACACTGTCGCCATCTCGTGGCTGAAGTGTGAATGACTCAATTGCGCGGGTGCAACTGTCAAAACTTAACTTTACACCTATATTACTGTTGAGGAGCAAGAAACAACCGAGTCTAATGAAGACACCGGTGTATAAATATTTTTTCGTGTTTTTTATGTTCCCTGATAATTAGCAAACAGCTATGACTCAAGTGAAGGTAAAAGTGAAACCGAAAGTAAGTTAGCAGCTAGCAGCTAGCTTCTTGAGGCTAGGCACTAGAGAACGGTAAGTCACTCGAATCATGTGTTTAAATCATACCATGGGCTTCAGGCAAATGTTAAGTAGCTAACAGGTTTAACATAATGCATATTTAGTAGCTGCAGGTTGACGGTTTTTAGCTAACATGGAAGCTGAACACTGCAGTACTTTTAGCTTGGCTTTGGTCTAGTGCCTGGGTTTAAAAAAGCTATCAAATGACTCATTATTACTGTTTTACGATACAAAACAATGCTGGGTTCTCTTTGCTAACACGGTACGACTAAAATTAGCTTTCCGTGCTCCTGACAACTGCGTGCAAAGTTTTCAACATGAAGAAGAGCATAAAAACAAACGCTCCATGTTAAATAAAATAAGTCTGCAATGTAGTTTACATATTTTTCTGTTCTGGAAGATTATGAAAAACCAGGTTATATTCGGGGAAATGTGTTAATGTTCACCATATGACCAATGTCATTTTATATTGGCTTATGGGTTTTGTACATTCTATAAATTAACATGGACCTACTGTGTTAGACTTTAAAGATGCATCTGTTGTTTCAAATTTGAACAAATACACTGGTTTATATTCTTCTGACAAACAATATTTCACTAAATCATCTTTCATAACAAATCTGGAAATTAAATATTTATTTTTAAGTGCTTGCATCAGAAGCCTCCATCTTGGTCTTTTAAACTGTACAGGTACTCATATAGAGTGTGGAAGGAAACATGGGTGTTATATTGAAGACAATATTTATACTACACATTTTTGATTAGTCAAAAATATTTACATACAATCTACTTGAAATAAAGCTGATGTATATGTCTTGTCTCTTTTGGATCAGCTCGAGCCGTTGGAGTTGGACCAACCATCAACAGAAACTAATGGCGGTGATAATATGGGCGTTGTGCATCATTCTCCTCGATGCATTGCTGTGTTCAACACAGTGGGCTTGCTTGGTGCTGTGGAAGTGCTCCAGCTCTGGCGGACTGGCCGGAGTTTGGGCCTTCGGACTGATAAAGTGGCTTTTTCTCCATGTGTTTATCTCAGCGCTAACAGATGGAAAACAGCGGGCAGTACTCCAAAGGTTAGCAGCGCTCCTTTGCCTTATTTCCCCTGTGTTTGAAACTGGACGGATCCTCAGCACACCTCCCTCAGAGCGGCCCATAGGACCTTCTCCTGATATCAGCATGCTGTTGATGGGTGCTGCGTCCTCATCGTTGGCCTGTTTGGTGTGGGAACAATGGCTTTCTCCAAATGGACAGAAGACAAAAGACAATCTGGACACTAAACGTTTGCTCATGAGAGTGCTGACGTACTTCAAACCAGACACAGTTCATCTGATCGCAGCTTTTAGCTTCCTCATCATGGGAGTCATCTGTATGTATAACCTCTGATAGTCAACCTTATCTAACATTTAGTAATAATTATTGACTGATAAGAGATTCTCACAGTGTGATGACATCAATTAAATACCATCAAAACCCATCAAAAATACAACAATTAAAAAGAACATTTGCAATGCAGTTTATTTTGATACAAACATATGCAAGCAATAATTATTCCTACTGTTGTTGATGTTTTATTATTCAGTGATTAATACATAATATTTGTTTTGGATTTTTAAAACATAGACTGTAGAGAAAATATGCAAGCAACATCCACTAAATTTATATTAGCTTCCTGGAAGAACATGGATACATGTAGCTGACAATAGCTGGTTATGTGTTTCAGCATTGCCTTCATTTATATTTCTTCTTTTTGGATATACAATTTCATGCCTTATGTGTGTGGCACATGAGGTGACACAGTTAAACACTGAATGTTACACCCTTCATCCTAATATACATATGAAATGGACACACATTAAAATCAACACATATCAGGGGTTGATGTTCCACCAAACGTTCATTACTTTTTGCTTACAGTCATATAACACATGTTTTCTGATATGCAAACAGCTACAGTAAACTGAACACCTTTCCTAGAATCCCAGTAAAGCTTCTTCACACCATAGGAACAGCATGTTTGTGGTTTTGAAACCATTGCTTAAAACCTTCATTTCGCTTCTGGTACCAGTAAGCGTGCCATGCTTTTTTTCTTTTTTCTTTTAACGAACCATTGCTGCCATTCATTGCTTTTAAAGTAAGTAAACCAACTTACAGTATTTTTTTTTCCTTTTCTTCCAACAGGTGATACTTACATCCCTTTATATCAGGGAAAAGTGATTGACTTGCTCAGCGGTCAACAGCTTCAAAGCGGTTTTGGTTATGCAGTCGGGCATCTAGTGCTTATTTCTTCTGGAAGGTAATAAAATACAACAATTTGTGGCCTGACAAGAAGACCACTTGATCATTCAGGGGTTGACAGCTGATGTATCTACCTGCACTGACAGCGCGCTGTTCTCTGGGATGAGAGGAGGCATTTTTATGGCTGCTTTGGCCAGACTGAACAAGAGACTGAAACATCTGCTGTTTCACAACCTCCTGAAGCAAGAGGTGCACTTCTTTGAGGAGAACAACCCAGGTGAGAGATTTTTAAATGTAATAATCACAAGCATCTTTTAAAAGTGTTTCAATGCTTTAGTTGAAGACTCGCAGACCGTGAACTGAGAACTTGTGAACTTATTTTACTAACAATGGAACCTTGCAGGACTTTGTAATTTACCAAGACCTTTTTTCTGTCCAGGACGACTGTCCTCTCGGCTGCACAGTGACGTTGACAGGATGGGACGAACCGTGGCTCTGAATGCCAATGCAACAGTTCGCAGCACAGTCAAAACGTTCCTCATGCTTCGAGTGATGTTGGGCCTGTCCTGGGAGCTGACCGTGCTTACTTGCATAGAGATGCCACTCCTGGCCATGTTGCAAAATAAATACATCAAGCTGTCCAAGGTGGGTTTTTGCTATATACCTCAGATTCACTTCAATTCCTTTCGGGGCTTTTTGTAGGAAGGTTTTCTGTTAGTTACCCTGCAAACCCTGGATGTTCTTGCCCTCCACCCAGGAGATGGGTAGACAGGTTCTTCTGCTGTAACGAAAAGGTTGATGCCCTAGTTTGAGGTCTTTTGGTTTGGTCCCTGTTTGCTGGAACTGATGGATTCGTTTCATCTCAAGATCGAACAAATCTCTGTTTAATATTGGTTTAAAGCTGAACCTGCTTGCTTTAAACTTCTCCACAACTTCACAAGTGGAGTTCATTCACTAATTAGACGTTTTGTAAAGCTAACCGGCTACAGTGGATTTTATATCTTGAATACATATTCACTGCAAACTTCTTAGGGTTTTAATTGTAAAATATTTGGTATCCATGTGGCCAAATCCTTTCACTTCACAATCATGCAATTCCTTACAATGGATTAAATACACATATCTATCTAATTAAAATTTACCAATTAGGCGAATTTTGAAGGCAATTGATGGCTTTGAATTTTATTTAGGGATGTCAGAGTAAAGGGTGTTCAATGTAAATGCACAGCATGCTA